TACGTTACAGGAAATTTTGCGCCAAGTATCCAATGCTAAACTATTACAAATGGATTCTAAATTTATACTAATTTGAGTTGTCATTTCGGAGTCCGCCCGTGATGTTCTCAACACGGTTTGTCGACATGTCCAAACGAGTGGGAATTTATAGTCTGTTTGTTCTACTAAAATTAAGCAGATGAGATTACAATCTAGATAAACTTGCAACAGTTTTATTTATAAAATATATATTGTTTTTTTCAATAAAATTTTCTCGGTATTTCAACTCACGTTCATTCTTATGTTAATTCTGATATTACCATAGTTTTAAGTTACAATCTAATCAACAGAAAAAGAATATTGCATAGTTTAAACTAAGCAATATGTATTTACTAAGAAAAAAATAATATTAGACCAAAATGTTATTTGAGTACGTTACAACTATCATAATATCAAAATGATTCAAGAAATTAAACACATCAAAATGCACCAAATTTTATTTATCTATACGGTACAGAACATAAACCAATATAACACATGACATATAAAACTTTTGATGCATTATATATCACACATTTTAGCATACATTACCTATATATTTTCTAAAGTACAAAAAAACTAATTTCTTAAACATATTTCAGTTATATTCATCCTTTATATGAATTTCAATTATTCTCGTAAACAATAAGTATTTTGTAATAAAAAAATTATACATCTTGTTAACATGAATAACGGAAATAAGTGTACATCCATACAGTGTGAAATACTAAGGACATCTGACTCGCCAACCAACCTTATCGTTTTCGTACCACTGCTGCTTTTTTAAACTCAACATTCTGTGTGGTACTCGGATCACACCAAATGGTTGTAAATCTGCACTTTGCCAGTCAAAAACCTATACTTCATTGTAAATGTTTTCGAGATGACAGGTTTCACTTAACTAGAATTATGAGCTGCCGTTTGAGTAGAGTTCTGGTCATGTATCAACACCTTTGCCAATTTGAACTCCTGTACTCAAGGAGACCAAGCAGAATGCTCACATAATTTTAAACCAGCAATATTAACTCTTCAACAAACAGAGAAACTTAACTTCATGTGGTTAACTTTGACATTTAATAGCTTTTTTTAGGTGATTGAAATTCTTTGATATTCTCTTTAGACATATGATGAATCTAGCGTGCCTATGACATCTTGTGAACATCGGTAACTGCGCGAACATCTCCTCGCTTATGTACATTATGAGGTTCTACGCCCAAAGGATATGGCCACAAAGAAAAAGCACTACGACTAAATTTCTTGTCTGATGAGACTTCAAGTGTCATAGGCACGCTAGATTCTTTCGTCTCGTCCGTTTTCTAGGAATTTTCTACGTCAGGCCGACATGCCAACTCGAGATTTTATCTCCGCGGTATTACATTTTCGTGCCTACCGATGAATGCATTAATGATTGTAGAAAAAATTCCAACACGCTACTATTCTTTTCAAATCGCAGTCCTTGTTCACAGAGCGAGCGGTATACACCAACACACTTGCCTCCGCGCCATCTTATCTCGTTTGCATCCTCCACGTTCTGAGGTGAGAATGGTTCTCGACTCGTGAGCTTATCCGTCTCCAAACTTATAGGAGCAGCTGCCTTGCCCAACACTCCGTCCCCAGATTAGCTGGACGAGCCTCCGGGTTGAAGAATCTCCAAATTCAACCTTCTGATATACACTGCAGCCGATCGTCGCGCTTTACCACTCGAGCCTCCTCCCGAAGCGGGCCCGACCTACAGAAGTTCGCTTAACTCGAGTTCGGTCCTCCTCTTAACTGACAGTTAACTGCGGTAGCATAATGGTTACCGCCCGCAACGTACTAATTTCTTGAGAGTGGGGCTAAGGTGAGGGTGTCGTAATTGCAATAGAGATCAGAGCTTAGCTTAGCTTAACAAGACGTCGTCGTAATATATGCGAAAGTACGAAAGATTAGTACAAAGTATAATGGCGAAAAAGGATGGGAAGACCTGATCAAGTCGTACAAATCTGTAATAGTTGACACAAAGCTTCGACGGTTGAAAGTGGAACTGTGTGTAGGAGTGGAGTGTTGAACAGAAATGCTTGCCCTGCTTGCCCTCCCCTCCTTCCATGGTCGATAGATGGATAAGGTCACCGTTTTTTTCCCTTCTTTCCAAATATTTCTCGTCCTCCATCGCCGTAATGTGGCAGCATGGGGGAACTCCACATTCCGTTCGCTGTTCATGCTGGTCAAGGACATGACAAGAAAGTAGAGAGAGCGATGGCACCCCAATCCGATTCCTTGTCCGTGGCCAAGCTGCCTTAAAGGCTTGACACTTCGAAAAATCCTCGGGCCCTTGTGGTGATTGATTGATTACTCGAGAGACGAAAGGCGCTCGGTCAACATCGAAGACCGTCCCAGCGCTAGACGAGGTCGTGGTGGTGCTCCTTCAGAGTTCGAACCATCGGGACCAACATGAAACACGTGAACTTCTTCTGCGGCTGATCTAGGCTCTCACGTTCCAGAAGCTCCAGTAGACATTCAGATAAACGGTGCAATGCTCCATCTTCTCTGCAAATGGAGAGAGATCCTTTGGATTTCATCGGAAAAAGAACGCAACGCAACTTTTGCTTAGATCACCATCTGGATGTACGGACCCAGTAAGTGGATTTTTTCAATGCGGCGAGAGAGCACACATCAATAATTAAACTCTGCGTCTACCAACTACCAATTGCATTGGTTCTGCTTGGATGCCAATCAAGGAGCCACTCGCGAAGGATTCAAGGATCCCGTCCATGCGGTACGGTGCAAACATGTAGACCCGAGTGCCAAAAGGAATAAGCATGTGCGATGACATCGAATTTAGCATGTCTTGACGGTCAAACGTTCAATGCTCGAGCGCGATTGATGTGCCGTAACCCATTCATTTATCTTCCCTACCTTTTGTGCGCTCGAGCCAGTGGCGAAGGAGGTGATATCGTTAGATTTTTCCCAAGTGTACTGTAATCATTGATGTGAGTTTCATCCGCAGTCGCCCATATGTTTCATGAAGGCGGTATGAACAAGTCTCAGCCGACTTTATGCTCGTGGGGTGCATCGGTCGTACAGCCACTCACCGAGTATCATAAGATGTAATTTAAGACCAATCCTAACACACATATATATGTATATGATAAACAAAATATTTAAATTTGGCATCCTCCGTATTTGTAAAGAATCAAGAGCCATGTGGTGCCATTAGAAATTCAAAAAAACGACAAAAATAAACTGATATATGTATACATATATCAGTTATTCTGAGTCCTTGATTTTCAACTCTGCATATTCCTTGCACTCCGTGACAATTGTATGGGGTTCTAAGGGTGTTTTACGGCAGTCACTCCTTGTGTACCTTCACAAGTCACTAATCATGAAGGTACACGAGTAGTGACTGCCCAATCTCCAGATGTCATGAATAGAGAGCACTGTAACTTCGATGATACTGTGAACATACGGCATCTCGGCATACTTTTGTATATGCTGTATTATCCGAACTTCAGTGACCGGTGTGAAGCTACACCGTTGCGGAGCTTGCACAGGTACAGGTGTAGCAGCTGAGAGTTCATGCCTTTGAAAGCAGCGTAGGGTGGCCAATGACATGATTTTCGTTACATGTACAAGTGTATCTCACCAGTACATATACATCGTAGACATTGCGTAAAACATACGACAAAGCATACGTATTGTTATGTATAGAGGCAAAATATATACTTCGGGTACAAAATGCCGGATTCTTTCCAGGAAACAAACATGGAATATTTGAGAGATCCACGTGAGGAGAGGAGCGGGGTCACCGCATTTCGTTCACAGGAGTGATAACCATTCAGTGAAGGACAGAGGAGAGCAGCCACTGCACTGCAGTACAGAACATAGCAAGCATCGGCGTGGAGTTCGGGTTTGGTTTCTCTCGCTCGCTGGTCTTCTTCTAAGACTTCTTCTGTGCTTGAGTCTGAGGTAAGGAAGGTCGCCATTTGTGTCTGTCGCAAGCTGCTCTCCTTGGAATTCGACGAGGAGGAGCAGCAGCAGCAGCAGCTTCGGCCTGTGATGTGTAAAGTGGTCTAGTTTTACACTTCATCTTGCTGCTTGCCGTTGAGACGATCGACAATCGAATCTTCATAATTGCCAAACCTCGGAACGGAAAATAATCTCGCGGAATAAGCTGCCGTCTCCGCCGTTTGGAGGAAAAGTCCAGACCATAGCCGGTCGGTCAGTCACCCAGCAGCTGAGCTTCTACCGTCTGCCCTGTCTAATCTTCACTCGTAGACATGCCTAGGTAGGCATCTAGAATGGTTAGCAGACGAATTTTCTCCCACCAACTGGGGAGTGACTAAATATACAATCCATCCGTTGCTATGGGTTGATTGAATTTTAAGGTGCATACGGAGATTAACTGATCCTTTGGCTATTTCCCCCACCCGAGTAAATAAATACTTACCCGGAAGTTAAAGGCCAGGCCACTCCGGAAGTCATACATACATATTGCTGGTTTGGATTTAGTGCGACCACTTTGAGTGGATGATCTCAAATTTTGACCAACGTTTCACCTGCAGAATGCGTGGGAATGTTCCGAAATGCTGACCTCGCGGCTCCAAACATTTCGACCGGGCAGGCAGACTTTAATGTGGCAGGACTTAGGAGAGGAGATCCCGACGGCATGGGAGCGAGATCGGCGTTTGGAGTAGACCTCCGCTTGCCTTACCGAGCACGCTTTTTCGTCGCTCGGTCCGGTCCTCTCCTCCGTCTCCGTCTTCGTCTTCTGCACTAGCGTCCGGGTCACTTTTGGACAGACCTCTCTCTCTCTCTCTCTCTCTCTGCTTCCTAGACAAGCCCAGCAGCGAGCTCTGCTCTGCTCTGCTGCTGCTGCTGCGGGCCATGGGGCCCAACTTCCCGGCCTCGCCTCCTTCCTGCTTTACATGATGCCAGCAAGTCACCGGCTCGGCCACTTCTTTAAATTCGCCTGCCGGTGTACATTTCCCATCTTTCCTTCCCCTCCCCTCCCATCCTCCCCTCCATCTCTCCTCTCCCACTCCCTTCCATTCCATTCCATTCCATTCAACTCCATCGCAGTGCAGTCCCCTCTTCCTCCTATACATAAAACCTCTGTTCCTCCTCCGGCCTCGACCTCGTCCCTGTGTTCTCTCCTCCTCCTCCTCCTCCTCCTCTTGCTGCTACTGCTGCTCCTCTTCTGCTGTAGACAGACTTCTGTGTTGTATTGTGTTGTGTCGTTGTGTGGAGTGAGTTTAGTGAGTGATTGAGTGAGTGAGGTGCAGTCGTAGGAAGAGTAGAAGCGGTGTAATATAGTTGAGGGTAGGATTGCGCTTATGCTTCGGCAATTCGTCAACTCGGCGAGCCTTGGAATTGATTACGATTACGCATACATCCGTCCGCCTTCGGGCGCGAGAGAGCGGTGAGATCTCGAGAAATCGCGACGCAGAAGGAGGAGCGAGAGACAGACGACGACAGCAGCAGCAGCACCATGGAGTCCCGGCCCTGACGAGCACGGAAAGGAAAGCAAAGCAAGGGAAAGCGAAGCGAAGGAGGAAGTGGTGGTGCTGCGACCATGCTCGCAATGGTAGGTGCTCTGTCCGGGATGTTCAAGAAGCCCGGGGCCCGCGTGCCCGACGCGCTGAGTTCGTCGACCAGTCAATCTGCGGAGGATGTGAGGGCGCGCAGCAAGGACTCCGAGAATGTACAGTACCAGAGCTCGAACTCTCGGGGTCGAATGCCCGGACTATGTGGAGTAGATTCCAGTAGGAGCAGGGACCGCAGGCGGAGCCGCGAGGACCGAAATTGGCAGGACAAGAAGATGGATCACGAATTCGATTTCGTCCTCGTGCCCTCCGATGGCGTCTACATGTCGGGCTCCGAGTCCGACGATTCGGATTGGTCCGTCGGCTGGTTCGAGCCTCACTCGGCCAGCTTCACGGACAACGAGGACGAGGAGAAATTTCAAGTTCTGGTGCCAAGTTATCGGGCGTCCGCGGCGGAATTGAACCCGCCGATTCACAAGTCGGAGAGCAAGGACTCCAACACTCCGCCGTGGGCCTCTCTGCTCAGCAACCTGACCCAATACACAAACTCAGGTTCGCTCTCTCAATTCCATTCCTCTCTCGACTTTGCTGTCGATAATAATGCCCGAGCTCGAATCGTCTTTCTCGACTGAGATGCATGTATTTCAATTCAAATCCGAAGGGAATCCGGCGAAATCCGAACCTCCCGCCGAGCTCGCTCTCCTATTGCCCAGCCTCTCTCTCTATCTGGTCGAAGAGAAGCTGCGCAATCGGACGTCTGCGTGCCATGTACTGCCCAGCGCTGGGCAATTGGACAGCGGTGCCGTGGGTGGCGAAGACGTGTGCACCGCTCTTCGAAGGAGCCGAGGGAGCACCTCTTCGAAGAGGCGGAAAGTGTGTGCGGAACACGCAATTGGGCGTGGGTGGGTGCCATACACGGGCTCGAGAAATTGTGGGTGCGTGAGTGAGGGTGTGGAGTACATTGAGACTAGCGCGACTGATGATGCGGTTGCTTGGCTTGTTCGCGCAGATATGCAGAAGCAATTGGACCTGTGGCTGCAGTCTCTGACATCTAACAACTGACGAGGACGACGACGAGGACGAGGACCCACCGATCGATCCGAGCTTTGCTGGGCTCCATGCACGGGTCGAGCATGGAGCCCCGTTTGCCGCAGCGGAAGCTAGTAGCGCCCGGGGCGAGCTCCGTGATGCGAACCGCACGACGCAGGACGAGGACGAAGCGCGGACAACCGCGACGTCGTCGTGTACGGTTCTTGGTCTCGTGTGTAAATATGTAGGCGAGAGATTTTGTACAGAAGTGTAGATGATGATGATGATGACGACGGTGACGGTGACGACGATATGATGTACCCAGAGCGTAATTTTGGTTATGATGTGCACTGAGACTCGGGTCGAGGTAGTTTTTGAGGTACAGGATACAGGATTTGACCCTGTCGCGAAGGTGGGCTATCCTTTTCACGATGACGTAGTCGTAGTACTCGTGCTTAGTTTTGGTTCAGGGCCTGGCTAGCATCATGATCTGGAAATTTCCGAAAACTGACATCCAGTGAGTGCGATTCCACCCTTATTAGACACGATTGAATCCCCCCTCGAAGCCATTTTTTTTAGCCCTGCTGACTGACACACACCGAGTCAGTAGTGGGTTATTCCTCCCTTGATAGAGATGGTCAGGGAACGACAATAGGGCTCCCTTTTACACCGGATGGCCATGGCGCATGTAATGTTTGTAGGTTGTAGTTACGCGCAACTCGATCTGCTCACCTTCGCAGCTTGTAAAGAGTGTAGCGTAGCGTAGCCTAGTGGAAGTGAAGTGAAGTGAAGTGAAGTGTAGTGTAGTGTAGTGTAGTGCAGTGCAATCCTCTCCGGCAGGACTGAGGAGAAAGTGATAGAAATTCGGCACTTCTGTTTGCGAAATCGATGATTGTAACTCACGGCACGCGTGCTGAACTACTCTGAATTTTGAAATGTACTTTATATTTGTAAGTAGGAAACTCTATCGCCTTCTTCGGGTCTCTGTCTGTCACGCGTGACGGGCGCCTTTATAAACGAGTTGGTTGTGTTCTCTGATTTCTACCATTGTCTTTCTCTGTCGCTCTCTCTCTCTCTCTTTGCAAGTGGCATGATCGTTTTCTCCCTGGATTTCCGTGGCTCGAGCTCGAGCTGGAATACTGGCGAGAGACAGAGAGAGATGGTGAGCTGCTGTTCCTTCTATAGGGCCCCTCTCGCATCTCTTGGATATGTCCGCCGCAGGTTTCTCAAGATTATTTTATGTCCATCGCCGTCTAGCTTCTACATAGACTCTCACGAATGTTGCGTGCTCCGGTTTGCCGAGGGGAGGATCTTATCCCTCTGACCAGGAAGGCTTACCTTTTGGAATTGTTCCGAGTGTCCACTTTCTGCACCGTTCTCGTCCCAATGGGCCTCGGCCCCACGCGAGAGAGAATTGGAAGATTTACCGAACTGCTCGCAGCGTTTTCAAAGCTTCCTATTTCCATTTCACCCGCACCGATAAACTGCGGCTCTCCACCGTCAACCTGCGAGATGCAAGTGTTTTATTATACACAGCAGTGCAGAAAACGTAGCTCAGCAATGTCCACCATCCATCTGTAAGCACCACATCGTAACCAGAGAGGCGCTGTAAAAGACGGTTTCGAATGCCAACTTTGCCACGAAAGAAAGGTGTGAGATATGGTCTTCCGATTCTATTTGAGTCACTCCTTTTCTTCGAATGATGGACGCCGATGAAAATCTGAAACCAGGACGGCGAAACAGCCGTCCACTTTTGTGTCAGGGCAGATCGTTGGTCCTTGACCTTTTCAGAGAAGCTCGGTGGTACGTCTGCCCAACTCCATCTCTCTCTTTCTCTCTCTCTCTCTGTGCGTTGTACTGGCACACAAGGACTCTGCATTTCTGATTCGGTCATGCACGCATGTATCATTCCGTGGATACACACTTGGGAGGCCAGAAATCTCGACGCTGGGTCAGACACGGGCAAGCCACTGGACGCAGTGGAACGATGGTGGTAAGAGAGATGGGATGGGATGGAATGGGCTGAAACCAGGGGGAGTAAGCAGAGCAGAGCAGAGCAGAGCAGTGCAATGTTTGGCCATGGGGTATCTGATGATGATGATGACACGAGTGAAGTGTTGCAGGGCCGGGCCGTACGTCTGACCTACTCTGAATGTCGTGCTGGTTGTCGTCGCCACGCTCGAGCCTCTTCTTGCCCATGGAGATCGGCCCGCCTCGAAAACCTGTGCCTGCCCGACCTAACAACCTTCGGCTGGCTGGCTCTATGGCTGGCTGGCTGCTTGTCGAGTGGTGACGACCTCGCTCATGAAAGAGTGCCTTGCTCGCTTGTCATGCTCATCACATTCAATGTGCGAGTTCGTTCACTGGGCGAATTGCTGATCACGAGCAAGACGAACGACCCCATCCATGGCCCTCGAATACCGCAGCGAGTTAATCATGCAAATACACAAACGAATCCCCCTCCCTCCCTCCATTCCACTGACCGACGCATGGAGGGTGCAGGGCTTCCCCCTCCATGTGCAGCAGCAGCCCTGCCCCTGCCGCTGCCCGACCTTGCTGTTCTCATTTCCCCACGAAATCCCAGAAATATTTTATTCCTCACGCGGCCCGCCGCCATGCCGGCCGACTGAGGCCGACGAAGGCGAAGCTCGGCCTCAGATGAGGAGAAGTTTTGGTGGGAGGTTTAAGTGCTCCACTGCTCCTGCCTCATGAAGGGGCGATCGATATATGCCTTTGGGCTGTGACGACGCTGGTCATGGTCGTCCACTCCATAGTGGAAACCGGTGCAAATTTCCACCGACTCGAGATCATCATCTTTCAATGCGGAGCGGTCGAGCTCCATCGGAATTGGGAATTCTTCAAAAGTCACCAGACAGGAAGTGGTAGTGGGAGTGGGAGCGAGCGGACCTTGCTTGGGCATAAAACCTTCTCGTGCACGAATGTCTCGTAGTTGTTGCCATCATCATCATGCCGAGCTTCGTGAGCCAATAGAGCTCCGACGAGATCCCCGCACCAATGGCTTCGAGGGAATCCATGTCCTCGCATGCGCATTTTACATCAGCAAATTTGTGGCATCTGCAGCCAGCGCAGGACGCATCGGACGAGGTGGCACGGAGTAGTAGCAGCGTAGGACATTCGAATGTAGGTTCGACGTCGTCGTGATGAGACTCCTCCTCTCGCCGATCCTTTTCCTTTCCTTTCGAGTCCTGCGCTTCCTTTCGATCGATCCGGGCAGATATTGCTCGCCCTCGCCCTCGCCAACGTACTGCTCGACGCACTTTCTGTTAAAGCCTGCCCTTCTTCTCTGAAAGCCACAGTTTCCATCCATAAATACCACGGCACCTCGGCCAATGCGGTGCCCGTCTTTTCCACAGAGCGCATACCATCGCACTTGGTCTCTTGTCCCTAGTGCTTCGAGCTAGGCATACGATCAGCGAATCTAAGAGTACGCATCACATGGACAGCAGAGGGAGGGAGGAGGAGAGGAGAGAGAGAGGGAAGGGAGGCTGCTGCTCATTGCCACTTACTGTTTGCAAAAGGTACAGCGGAGGTATGATTAGCCATTGTACGGCGAGAGGGGCATGCTTGGAAAGGTCTTGTTGACTTTGAAATCTGGACCCCACTTCGGACAAAAGCAGTGCATAGCCAACGATCGTTCTCACAAAGATCAAGTTCGGGGCCCAACTCTATCCACAACCGGGCCACTCGAAAGACAATTTTACGCAACAGGTGCGTATTTGTCTTGCATGACGAGTTTCCCGTCTCTCTCTCTCTCTCACTCTCTCCCTCCCTCTCCCTCCCTCCCTCGTACGCTCTGCAGTGTTTACAGGCTACGTGCAGCTAGCATTTGCGACACCCAGGGCCCACTCGCCAAATCGTTCACTGAAAGAAGCTTGCACACTTGGTCCACTTTTTTTTTTGTCAGTTCTCGGTCTCCAGCTCCTCTTTTCTTTTCGTTGATCGATATAAACCTTCCATCATAGCGAGCGCACTTTTTCGTTTCGATATCTTCCCGGCTATGGAATTTTGTGCTCGCTTTCGGTGGGTGCGCTCGCTGCTGCAGATCGCCTCTTCCTTTGGCAATTCTGTCCACATTTCCGACTCCCAAGCCACAACCTCTTCTTCGTTGGGAGAACTCGAGCTCATCCATCCAGTCCGTTGTGCTCGTTGCCAAATCTCGGCCACTGGACTGAAACATCTGAGGGCCCTCTTGAGCTAGTCTGCTCGAATCGCGCACAAGGCAGCGATTCGATGGTAGCCAGTATCGATGTCGACAGCGCACGTACCAGGCGAGGAACATCGGGCCATGGCACGGAGCTCAGACATATGGCCATCTAGTGGCAAGCGTGCAGCATGTGAAACAGTACAGTGTGTCACTGCACTCTCGATAGCACGGCCTGCTTCCAAATATTCCTGGAATGTACCAACCGTATGGAACCAATCCGCCTCTTGTCAAGGTCAACAAAGCAGATTCCAGTTTTCACCACTCGGCTCAGTCTACGTATCGAGTGGATGAATGTAGAAACGCGATGGTGGTTCGCCTCCTCGTATCAGGTCTGCCTCAAGCTAATACGAGAAATGGAGATGGAACCGCACGACGTGCTTGGGCTTACCTTGAGTGTCTGAACATACTACTGCCGCATAGAACACAAGTCATGAGAAAACTGTTTTTCCCTCAATCCTGGGATCCTACAAGTTCTCGCTAATGCCGGAGTTTTGGCTCTCTCTGCTCCAAACGTGAAGAGAAACAGAGAAAGTTTAGTGGCTATCACACGTGTAACCAATGTCCGGTCACCTTGCAAATGCGAACACAAACCTGTCAACGCACATCACAATATCTAAGTATTTGATTCGATTTCAAACTCGCCACTATGGAATTGGAGTTTACAACCTCCTGAAATTCCGTGCATGAGATTTCTCTGGAACTGAAGTTTGGAGTCGTCTAGATCCTTGCAAATGAGTCATAAGTTAAAGTTTCGCGAAGACTGCAACCTGGGAAGACCATGTGGACTTCAATGCAAGTTGCTGGCTATATGCTCAACTATATCTAACGAAAGGGGTCTGATATGTGGCATCTGTACCTTTCGATGACCAGCCTGGATTCTGATACGAAGTTTGAATCTCAAGGTCTGGGCCTTCGACAGATAATCCTGGATGAGAGACCAATATAACGGCCAGACACACGCACCCCTTACGAAGGTGATCTGGCAACACGTCGAGAACTAAACTTGATAGCGAGATGGACACAGGGCTCTTGAACACACGTGAGCAGATGATCCACTGGATGGTCTTGTCAACTCTTATGGAGCCATTACCTTCCTCTGCCGATACTCTGCAATGACGCCTAGAGTCACTCGAACTTACATTTGTTGACATCGACTATTGTCAATTCTTGGACTTTGAAGGACACTGGTTGAAGGATGTTTGTAGAAGGCCCAGACCTTGAGATTTAAACTTCGTATCAGATTTCAGCAGTAGTCATAACAGGCTCCTATAACACGATTTTGAGGAGGGGAGTAGATCCGTTCATCCTTTGTCAAATTGTGGAAGTCTTCACGGGAGTTTTCACAAGCCCTCAATTTATCCATGTGGATGAGCAAACCTCTATCGACATCTCAGTTAAGCGCTGGGAGTTTGTTTAGCTGCATGATATTGTGTACTTCTGAACACTTTCCGCAGACTTCTAGTGCGGGATATGAGAATTCGTAGGAATATTTAAGCGTTCTAGTCAGGAATAAACAAGATGACAATATAAAGAAGAGTTGCCTGCACTTTTCAACTCAAGTCCCTTTTATTATCAATCCTCTAGAAGAGTAGAAAGTATCACTCAGCAAAATGACTTTTTATGTGTGGTTCTCTGTGATGTTCTAGGATAGGAACACAGAGAGTAGCAATCATCACAAATCTTGGGTTCATGGCCGGAGTCAAGCAATAGCATAACGGTGAGGATTGAGGAGAGGTTTCAGGTCTGAGAGTCGGACTGAATACCGATTCACATCTCATTATGGCTAGAGAAGTCTTGCACGGACAATCAAGTGTGCTCGCTTTGTCCTATACGCCTCATGTTATTTCCTTCCCCACAGCGTGCAAACCCATCGCATCATCATCGGGATGTTGATTTCAACTAAAAAGCTAGTAAGATGCTTGGATGAAGTTGGCCTTCAAACCTGAGCAATAAAGTGAAGCTTTCCGTGTTGGCCTCACAATCACCGAGTCATGGCTCGGGATTTTGTTATTGTCACTCTGTCACCCAACAAAGAATCTTCAAATTCCAATTTCTACTTCCCTCTTTTACCTCTCGGCATTCATTTTACATCTGCGGACTTGGACTTCCTTATGAGATGTTGTCTCTAGTTTCAAAGAAATGAGTGCACGAGGTGAACGTCAGATGGACGGGCGACTGATTATGTGCCTGGCTGTTCCACCATCGTTGCCGTGATGGATGGTTCTTCCTCTGAATAACCTAAATCACAACACACCACACCACACCACTCTCTCGTCTCGTCTCCATATCACAGACTGGAGATCGAGACTATGTCGCTTGCTGTACTCTCTTGATTTATATTGCTGCCATCTCATTACCATGTACATTTTAGTAGTAGGTGTAATATAACACACTTTTGGTTAAGGAATTATTGGGTCTAGTCCATGGTTTCTGTTTGTGCGGATATGGTGTTCTCATGGTTTTATACACCCATTTGAACTGTTATCTTTCATTACCATGTTTGGACAATAATTAAATACCTAAAAATGTGGAAGATGTGAATTTCGGACGTGGGCTGTTATGTTAAAAACTTTAGGTGTTTTGTCCGCTCATGAATTGATTTTACCAGGTGTGACTGACACAGAATTTTGAAGAGATTGTTTTGAGCTTCTTATATATCAAGATACATTCTTGAATAAAATGTAAGATCATTACATAAGTAAATCAGTTTTTACAAAATTTCAAAATGTTCTTGAAAGACTGACCTTTTTTTAGATATAATATCATAAATTTTATATTGGTAAACCCAATGAGCTATTTCTTCTCCGGGAAGGCAGAAAGGTCCAGCAGGAGGAGGCGTTCGTGGAAGATGACAAAATCTATATTTTGTCACCTTCAAATTCCGACCTCCAAAGCATGGAACAGAAAGCCTCGTGGATGATGAGACCACGTTCGCCATCGCAAAGGACCACAGCACTCACATTTGGCATCGACGAGCAAATCTTTTCTCTCGCAGAGCAACTTCATGGCTGCCACCATTCATTTGTCTTAAGACGCAATAGGACCTTTCTTAGAACCCAACTTTGGTTCATAACTGGCTTTAAACCCTCACGGTTCGTGCGAATGTGTGTCGTGTCGGGTTCTCAGGAGTTTACCGAAGAAAAGAGCCCCATCTCTCTCGTCAAAGCGTTTGCTTCGAAGGTCGCAAACGCTTTACTGCTTAAACAATCTGAAGTCCTGCCAAATCATGGATGCAACACCACATACAGCTCGCTTCTCGATCTAATGCACGACAAACAATTGGCTTAAGGTGATGTACTACAAGTTGAACAATCACGTCAGTGACGGCATGCATCGCTGATTGCGTGTTGTGGAACAAAAACCTGCCCAATTTGAGGTAGCTCTCTTGAGACTCGATTTCAGGGCTGCAGATAGGATGCTCTGAAAGCCTCTGCTGACCCAGCCGGATCTGCAGAGTCTGCTCCGCTTTTGAAAGTGTTCATCGCGTCTCTGTTGTTGGGCTCGAATGATCATTGTAAAAGAGTATAGTAGCAGTCCCACCGCGGTTGAGCAGTCTCCCAAGTGGAGACAGGAGGAGTCTATGCAGGCGAAAAAAGACCTCATTCTTCTCAGACAGTCTGATCAGCTGGTCTCCACCTTTGGAGGATTGGTTTCAGCTTATGGAAGTCTCACTCCGGGAGCGATGGTTCGGTCCATCTTGTCAGCGGGTTCAGACTGTGGACTCTGCATATAGTTCATGCCCCCATGAACTAGCTATTCCGAGGTGGTTGCTTACATCAAGGACTGTCTCACCGTAGACCATCCGCCAGGTATTCAGGTCATGAGCTACTTCGTTAGCCAGGACCCTTTGCTGGATTGCCATACTAGCAGAAGAAATAAACTTGTGGAGGCGTCCGCACTCGTTCAACTGAAGATTTTACTCTAGAAGCTCGTATGGTTGGAGCATGTCTGCTTTCTAAGGAGATTTAGAAGCAGATTGCCGCGAGTCTAGCCGATTTGTACATCTCGGCATGACTGTCAACTGAACACCTCTTGAGCTCAGACAATCGGTGGTCAGTCAGAAGGGTCTCCAGATATCTTTCCTGCCTATGGGAAGTTTCTATCTCCTTGGGCATCGCGGCCACCCTCAGGGATCTTTGGACATGCCCACATTTGAATGAATGGGTCAATAGAAATGGGGGATGATGCTTTGGATGGGACTTTGTAGCGCTGCAGAACCAGCCTCTATGTCGCAGCGTCCACATGTACAAATGGAGAGGATATGTTGTGGGTTTCTGGACGCTTTTGTACTTCTAGGTGATTCGTTAGCGGCCTCATGAGGTTCAAGGAATTAGTGAAATCATGAATGAGGTTTTGCTGTTGTAACATCTCATTTCAGAATTGAGTGACGCACGGTGTATTCAAGGCAAACATTATAGAGTTATTCATTGTCATTTTTTCGTGAATCTTATTTCAATCTACTTGAAGGTACATAAGTACAATGCACTTCGTAACGAGCGTTCAGCTTTGTATGAATGCACTCGTTGGTACTATTTTCTGTAATGTAATACCTCATGATGAGAATGTACTCTGGAAACATGTACTCTAATTGTAAACTTTCTAGAGTGGGAAACTTTTCAAACTTCGCAACAATATTGGTGAAAGTTTCCAATTTAGACTCGAGAGTTTTTACTCACTGTCTGACGTTATTGTCAATTGGTCCTCTATGAAACTGCCCTAATTTGAAATTTTAGCCCTGTTGCTCCGTCTCTTCTACTTCTTTATCGCTAATCTAGGTTGCCTTCCCTGTCCCGATGTTGATTCCTCGGAGTTGAAGAAGTAACAGGAGGGACCATCAAGAGTGTGACAATCAAGCCTCCTCGAAAGGAAATTACTGTCCTTTTGTTGGATTGCTCGGTTCAAGACAGGCTGATACGACGACAACTGATTACGATTACTTCCATTACGAAGACAACTGAACATGGGAATGGACTGTCGCAGACGCACAGATCGTCTGCCCAATTGAGACAGGTAAAAACATGCCCTGGGATCGTTCCCACAACAAATTTTAAGATCTCGAATTAAATCTCAAGATCTCAAATCTCAAGATCTCGAATTAAATGGCATCAGGCGATGTTGCTCGATGAAACCATTTTGACTTTATTTATAGAACTTAAGCTCTGTGACCACGTTGTGTACCCTGCCGAGAAGTTCCTATATTATGGCAAAATGAATACCCCTGTCCACTTTGCCAAAAGCTTGACTTCACAAGGGTGCCTGCCGCATGAGCATGTCTTTTGTAATCATGCCTTGTTAACACAGGGTGGCGTATGAGCTGTAGATTGTGGTTGCTCTATGTTGACGTACTTCTGCTCTCCTACGCTGCTCGCAGATTGATAAACTGCGCTGAAGTTGGATGCATCCAGGTCATAAACCCAGCTTCGGTGTTCCATAAGAAGAGCGGCGATTCGACCAATTTCATCAGCCGATTTCGCTGCTGCTCCACATCCTCCTGTAACTACAAAAACTTGGGCATCCTGGAAAGGTTTTCCATCAACAGCATCGATGAAAGGGTAATTGTGAGCAGTGTACGTAACGATACATGGCTTGCTGTGCACAGATTCAATCGCGAGACCAGGCATCAATTTCTTCAAAACCTTCAGCAGATGATCAGCCTCTTCCCTCGGCCCGTCGCTGTGGAACCAATGTGAAATTTCTTCCTTGCTTGACAGAACTGCGTCTCTGTAACCTGATGATCCTTGCAACCATGTTCCCCCTATTTTCAGATATGTCTTGCCGTCTGGATATTTGACTGGAGGGCAGGCATAGACAGAGTGCAAAGGTTCTTCCCCGTTCAGCCGCCAGATCAAAGAAGGCATGGACTGCAATCTCTTTTCCTCATCAGACCCAACTTCTGCTAGAACGACCAACTCGGATACTGTCTTCAGAGCCAATCCACGCCCCGGAACCAACCACTTCGTGTAGATGTCGGCAGCAATCAAAACTCGTGTAGCTAGGAAACACTTGCCACCATCGGTCCTGATTTTCACACCACTGGTACTACATTCCAGGTCTACCACAGTCTCTCTGACAATCGAAGCGCCCTGCTTTGCGGCAACCACAAGTTGGGCCCGAACCATCTCTCGGGGATTGATATATCCTGCTCCGTTTTTCTCAATCAAGCCCACATCACCATCCTCAAAGTGGAAGAAGGGGAATCGGCGTTGGAGCGCCTCTCGAGATGGCAACAACTCCGCTTCGGCTCCATTGCCCCTTCCGACCTCCTTCGCCAAGTACAAGGTGTCACCATCTTTCTTATAATTGGGTGAGACCCTGATGGATCCCACGGGGTAATGGAAGCGGATGCCGCTCTCCCTCTCAAGAAGCCCATACCTCTCGATGGATCTGGCGGCGAGCTTCGACCAAATGTTGTTCGAGTCCACAATTCTCGTGATTCTGCCCTGGTCATAATGAGATGCGAACACTCCGGCGTGCGATTTCCAATCCTCTGGCTCTGCGGGTCCAATTCCGACCACTTTCTCCCCCGTAGCCAGCGACAAATGCCTGCAGGCTGCCGAGCCCATAAGCCCTATGCCGATCACAGCCACAGAGAACGTCTCCATGCCCGCCGATCCCTTCTCCGCCCACCGATCCAACAGGCCGACGAGTCGATGGTGCTGCCATGAATCGGAGCTTCTTCTCCTCCTCCTCCTCCTCCTCCACCACCACCACCACCACCACCTCTCCGTCGTCGGCCTCGCCCTCCATCGCACCACTCAAAGGGAGAATGTGCGGAGCAATTCCGTAGATGCGGTCGTGGATGCTGTCGCCTTGGCACCTGCACCGAACCCCATCCATCGCCTTCTCTAGTCTTCTATAGTCTCTTGTCTTCTCATCCTTTTCGACCCGATCCCACCTCCGGCTGCAGAGGCACGTCTCGAGCCGTCGCGGCCTCGGCCTCCGCCCTGTCCACACAAAAGGAAGCTCCGAAAGCTTCAGAATGTCGATTTTGTTCGTTGCCATGCCCGCCCGCCGCCCGCAGCGCCCGCAGCGCGCCTTGGCCCTCCCTATCCACAACACTAGCCCCATGTTCGCATTTGGTTTCATCTTTATCCAGCAGGCACATCATGTCATCCGATTGCGAACCAGATGAGTGACATGGCTTGTACCTAACGCGCGAATTTCGCATCATGTTTCCGCCATAGCGCATAGCTTCGTAACACTTTTGCAAAGCTTCTGCATATTCTCCTTCAGATTGGGCTGACATTCGTTACGGTTGTTAATTTGTTTAAAATAAACTCCGTTTAAAAACCGTACATGAAGTTTAAACTTCAAACGGTATTTTGGATAGCTGATTGTGTGTGTCTTCTATATTATGTGTTCTTGGTCTCTTTCTTCATTGCATGTAGACTGGATCAAAATTAAATGAGAGTTGTGATGGATGAGTTTTGAGTTTTGATCAAAATCAAAACTCTCATTTGATTTTTGATGAATGGAAAATTTCAGTGCGATAATTGTCAATCTGATGAATGTCATACAAGATTTTTGATAGATGGAAACTCTCATAACGATAATCGTCAATTGGATGAAAGTCATACAAGAGGTTTGATGGATGGAAAATTTTCAGAATGATAATTCTAGGACAGAATCTTAGTATGCGTTGATTTGTAGACGAGGCTGATTTGGCACTGAGACTGTCTTAGATCCTTATGAGATTTTTCCCATTGCGTAAAGCCCTGTTCTCCGAATGGTCTGATCCTCAACGTTGCTCAGTTGCTCCCATATGATTTCATGTGGGCGTTAGATAGGCTGGATTTCGGTTGTCCGGGTTGTGTGCTTTGATAAAAGCAGCAGTGGGATGGGAACACAACGATAAATCAACGATGAAATCTGATATATGTTTGAGACTGGGATGAAAATCAACCCACAACTAGCAGTTCCCTTAAAACCAACTCATACTTCCGTAACCTGTTGAAATGAACATGTCCACGCATGTGTTATTCGAATATCTGTAGGGAAAATTTTTCTAGCGGTATGTGCTTTTCCGAAGATTTATGAGCAAAATCGTGTTCCGAAAAGAAGATAATAAACTTGTATTAATATAAATATGGATAATGACTAAAAACTGTTTAGGGATTGGTTTAAAGCTCATAAAAATGACAGTGTGACTTTTCGTGATTCCGTTGTCCTGTTCTTACGTTTCACTGCATTTTACTGGATTTACGTTGTGTTTAAACCGCGAAATCCCCCAAAATATCTACTGTCACCAGTATTTGAGAAAATAAAACTGCACATGATCTTGGTAATATCCCGAGCTTCAGCTATTTATTCATCATTTCAACATTGTAATTGTTTCCAGCGAATAGTGAGAATTTGAGCGTTTGGGAATTCGAAATGATGTTCAAAATAAAAGTAAAATTTGAACATCATGAGTTTCACTGATCGCAGGATTGTATGTGACTAGCTTAATGCAGTACACACATAAGAGTTTAAACTGCATTCTTTTACGTGTTTCAAGTAGAAATAATAAAAAGGGAGATAATAATTTTCTAAATATGTGATTTGATGCAAAAACAATTTCTTGCATTTAGTAAATTACAAAAATATTTATGTGTAGTCAATATTTGGAGTTAAAATTAAAATCCAAATATGAAAGTAATCCCCTTGAACATTATAAACCTATGAAAATTATCAGCTCAATGGAAAATTTAATTTTTATTTTTAATCGGATGGATTTTGTTGTGTGATTTGTATCAATGAACCAGTCGTATTTCAAGAAATTTATGTCACATTATTTTCACATCAAAAGTGATGATGATATCTAAGATCTCACAACAACAGTGTGGCGATCAAGTATTTGAATATATTAATTATTCTAAATTTTTATGGCATCAAATTCAAATTAAATGAGTGAAAATATGTAATTTTCATCAAAGAATGTATCGGTCTAATCATCTGTTTGAATCATTTCATATGTTTATCAAATAATTATTCTAAAGAAGATTTCGTTGTTTAAACTACATCCCGAGGGTTATAACATCATTTTGGAATTGAAAATTCTATTGTCACTGAAAATTCTGCCTTTGCTTGAACGCGTTTAGCTAGCTAGTAGTACCGTGATGTACCGTGAAAATATTCTAGTCGTGATTTGAGGTGATTAAATTTCATTAATTTCATTTCTGATTTTTTGGATTTATCACTCTAGAATTTATAACCTCCACATTTAAATGTTATGGGTAAAATTTGAAGTTGATTCCATACTATTCTAAATGTCAAACGTGATCAAAACGTGTTCTATTATTTTCTACATTAACACTCTAGCTTTCACTGAAAAAATATCTTTGAAAGGGTTGAAAATTCAATATATCTGAGTCCTCAGAGATAATATACGAAGAACTTTCTTTCCGTTAAACTTAAAAAAATTACTAGTTAGTTTTCTAAAAAATCTAGACTCATATCGAGACAGGCGATTATTCAATAACAGTCAAGTAAATCTGTAGATATACATAGAGTTATATTAAGATATCAGCCTACTTGAAGAGATATGCGTGCTTACAAATCGTACTTCCTCACACAAAGTGCTTCTCGAACTTACAACTCGCACCGAAGACAAGAAGTAAGACAAAAACTACACTAAGCTTACAAATCGTACTTCTTGCCTTCAGATTACAAGTGAAGTATTTTGGAGAATCCATGGTTTTTTCACACTATATTATACTTGACATTTATCCGTCGCAACTGTATACGTCTTGATTTCCGCCGCTGAAAGAAAAGTTATATTTCTATAATACGCATATATGTCTTATGGATATAATGTGAGCCACCGAGTCGACATATTTATTCTTTCTAGCCGAAATGAACTCTTGATCGGATTATCTATCAATAAATTGTTCTGACTATACATGCTTTGAAAAGTGTTATCATTCACATGCTCGATAAGAAACATTTTCATGGTCTCATTATTTACATACCATTTTGTATGGGACACCATTGGGATATCTAAACATCAGAATTTCTAAGTCTCATTATATTATTTGTATTAATTCTAGCATCGTTGATAATGATCAAAACATGCATCAGTGTTCGAAGACCATAGGCATATGGAGGGGAGAAGGAAATTCCAACAAAGAATCAACAAATGTTACCTAACTTTCCAATAACGAAGGGAAAAGAAATTTAATTAAAGAGCAATGTTACTGCTATCCACATCCATGAAAAATTGTACATGTATACAAAATAGTTTGACTTCAATATGTTCCAGCTTTGACGAAAAATTTCGGAAGCCTTAGCTTTTGTAGAGGCCTGATTTTTCGTGCCACGGATCACGGCTCTTAAGCGAAATTGGTCCATCAAACGAAAGCACGCGTGCCTTCAATTTGGAGTATTTTGAATATTTGAATATTGCCAGCACGTCGATCCACTTGACTCACTGACCGATTTAATGATTTCTTCCTTTCACCAAAAGCTCGATCGATCTCGGTGCTGGAAACTGAGATCGATCGTCGGCGGAAAGGAGGGAGCGAAAAGTCAAATGTCAAGACGACAGCTCTAAGAGACAGAAATCAACGGAAATCCAAGAGTTCGAATTTCGAGTGTTCAACGCACGACATGTGTCAGACAGAGCCCGAGGTTCGGAATGGCGTGAAAGAGCTGAGAAGATGAGGAGGAGGAGGAGTCCGACAAGCATGGGGAGGGGACGAGATGAGAAAGTGGCGACACCTCTGACAGAGCCTGCAATTTAATGCTGGGGCTCGCCTTCGGGAAGGCTGGGAGGATCTTGAGCACGCAGAGGATCTTGCCTCGTTTTGCTCTGCCAAAGCAGCAGCAGAAGAAGCAGAAGGAGCACCCACAGCGTCGTCGTCTTCAGAGGTGACAGACTCTGCACAGAGCAGAGATTCTTGGGACCCACCTCGTCCTCCTCTCCGTCGCCTTCGCCGTCATGGTGTCGAGAAACGCAGCAGATCAGTGGCGGTGTAGCACACTCCGTTCTGCGAACACATCTTGCTGTTTGCAAGTCCTCTCGACAGTCTAGGCACTACGTGTTGTTGCATTGCTGCTGTTGCTGCTGAGCTTGGAAGACAGTGGATTGCGGGCAGGAAATGCTTGCGAAGGATGTCGGGAAATCCGCGGGTTCGGTTGGACCGTGGATCGATCGATTGAACCCGAAGGTGTGACTGAGGTCGGCAGATCTTCAACTTCGGGGAAATTCGCCCTTTCCCTCCCTCTCTTCCTTCATTTTCTCTCCTTCTTTCCTCTTTTTTCCTGTTTCGTGCCTTCTGCGTTCGAGTGTTTATAAAATTGGTGCACTTGGCCCGCTGACGAGGGAAAGGGCCTGTTCGATATGACAGCTGAGGAAGGAGTGAAGATCCCGCAGAGCGAAGTTAATAAATGGTGGTGAAGATCGTAACTCGCTGGTGGATTTACTGTTGATGATCGACCTCAGGTGAGCTTGATTCAAGACGTTTATTGGCAAGGCTTGATCCTTGTGGCAAGTTTCCTCTCGTAGGTTTCTACGGTACTACGTTGGATCACTCTGTTCCCCACTCCCTGAAGTGCGATGGGAGTCGTGCCCCGTCTTGATGACCTCGATGGCGGGAGATTTACCTCTTGCTCGCTCGCTCACTCTGGCGCTAAATCGTCATTCGATAAGCTCAGTTCGGACGAGACCTTTGATGCGGTCGCACTCTCAATTTTGTTGCGTCTTGCGCCTTCGATGCACATTCACAGCTGTCGTGAAGACGATTGATTAGTCTGGCAAGAATGAGAAAATTTTGTGTCGCTGAACTTTGGAAACCACGAAGGTCCTTGAGATTAGTGGATCCCGGATGTTGTACATCTTTCAAGACGAAGCGGTCTTCTGTACGTTTGTCTCCATTTGTATCATTCCGCCTACTGTTTTGTCTTGATGAAGATCATTGGCATTCTGGCCATTACGTGTGTATCAAGTAGTTTCTGTTTTGACTGTAAACTTCAGTTTTTCAAAAGCTGAAGTGAACAAGATTGCAATAAGAGCCACTTTTCTCTCTTGAGCTTTAGCTAAGCGACGCTGCCCACGTGAACCAGTTTATCCACATTTGTGAATTTTGTACAATTGCAGGTTTTTCTGTTCCGAGAAAAATCGGGCTTTGCATAATTATGCATGAGGATATTGCAGACGTTGTCCTCGCATTGACCTTGGTGCATGTAATATTTTCTCCCTATGACAGGCTCACATGTCAAAAGTCTTTCTGTTTGCCTCAGAAGCTTAATCCCCAGTTACTTTGTTTTGGATGTCTATTGTAGTCTTTAAGGTGCGGGTGCGAACTACGAGCTCCAACTCTGCTTTCGAGTACAGAGATTCTTCACCCACAATGATAGCATAGCTGGTCGGCTGTCAGACAACTGCAATTGGTGGCAGTTGCCAGGTGCCATGTTGGCTTTGGAGACAATGGCGGAAGAAGAAATCACAGGCAGCACCAAGTCACAGGCAAGGCAAACCCAGGATGATGGATCTTCAGAAGCTGACCTCCGGCCAACTCAGAACGATGGGTTGGGTAGGGATAGCCGTGGGAAAGCGGAAATTAATAATGCAGTAGGGTCATCGCCTCATTTAAGTGACAGTAAGGTGAGTGTGTTCGCAGTCAGATTCTCCAGTATGTTCGAAGCAGATTTGTCGGACACGAGAAATAATTCCCGACACCAGCACAGATACGAACATATGATAAGTATATGGTGACATATTTTCTACGGTTGTTGTGCAGAGTGTTGATAGCGAGGCTGTAAAGTTGGCGTACGAAAAACGGCTTGATGCACTCCAACAACAACTACGGGTACCTCCTCAACTCCCTCGCAGCAAGTTCACTAAACTTATGGAGTGAAGGCATTAAAGATGGTAGCTCTACATTATGTTGATTGATCTTCAGTTTATCCAGTTATATAAAGAAGACGTAGATAACCAGCCCAACAATAGTCCGCTTGATAATGAATGGGTAGTGTCGCAGAAGAACGGCTGGACAAGTCTATTCATGATTAGACTGGAACAGACACGTGACTGCGCAGCTATCTCTTCAGCATTCGTCCTTTTGACTTCTTGTCGATTGCCGGGCGTAGGCTAATATTATCATGCATTGTCCAGGTGCGAGACTCGACTATGGTGGAGTTGGCAGATGAGAATGAAAGCCTCAGCAGAGCTTTATCAGAGCTGAAAGTCGTTGTGAAGGAAACAATGACAGAGCGAGAGCGCCTTGCAGATAAAATAAAGCAACAACAGAAAACTCTTCAGAGTATGCAGGCTTCTTTTCGACAAGCCGAGGAAGAGGCAAGTTCAGCTGAAAAGACGTTCTTACTTTGCAGAGAGTTACCAGAGCAGCCTTGCTGTCGAAAGACTGAGTCAGACCTTGTATTGGGCAAGAATGTTTTAAGTGGGAACAGAGCAGGAAAATAAGAGGAAGGTTTCTGACTATCAAGCTAGTAGTGAGCATATTTGTGAACTCTTTTGATTGAGTTCCAAGTTGAATGGACATTGAGGACTGAGCATATGACAATATCAAACTCTGAACACATGTGTCCTCAGAAAAGTTCAATTCAGTACCTTCAGTTCATGTGGTTTAGCTGATGCATTATATGGGCCAACATGTCTCAAGCGTCTGATCCAGTTTAGAGGTTAGATAAAATAAAGTTAAAGAATCACAAGTATAGTAGTGTCGCAGCCCCAACAATATAATTGTCCTGGCTCAGTATCTATTTGGTTGCTCGCAGGTTGCCGGTGCTAGACGAGAACTCAGCGAAGCTAAAAGGGATGCAAGCGATGCAAGGAGAGAAGCTAATGAAGCCAAGAGGGATGCAAATGACGCCAGAAGAGAAGCTACCGAGGCTGGCGTGGCTTTAGCTGATGCAAAGGCAGAGGTGTGGGCTATAAGAGAAGCTGCCAAAGGAAAAGCTCTGGGAGAAGATGAAAGAAGAGAGTTGGAAGGTGCTTTGAGGGCTCTTTCTTCCTCTTCGCAAAGGGCGGCCCAAGAGGCCGGACTGTGGAAGGAAAAGGCTTCTTCGTGGAAGGGAAGGGCAGAGTCTCTGAATGAGGAACTAGAGAACAAAGCCAAAGCTCTTGCCTCTGCAGAAAATGAATTGGCGCTGGCTCAACAGTATGTAAAAGATGCAGGATCCCAAATTCAAGAAGCCAAGCATAACCAGGAAGTGGTACGTTTAATCAAAGAAAGTACCATGTTTACAGAGTTGTCACTAAGAGAGTACAGCCTACTTTTTCTGATCAGTTCTGAGATCGAGTTTTGTAATATATTAGAACATTGAGTAGCAAATCTAACCTTCTCATGAATCTAAAAATGTAATGCTAGGCAGAAACTGCTCTTGAGCAACTGCGACAGGAATCTGATTTACGGGCACAGAGATTCAATGTAGCAGTAAAAGCAGCCGTGGGGAAGATTCAGAGTGTAAGTTGAAAGCTTTATCATATCCACCTCCGTATTCGTTCCTTTCTCTGTTGTGATGATTTAAGTAGGATGTAGATCAGAATTGTATTTCCCTTGGTACGTAGTTTGTGAGGTTGTGCTTGTCCACATCACTATGATATGTCAGCCTGAAAGTAGGTCTTGTTAGGTCATCCGATCTACTCGCATCTCCTTGCAAGTTTATGGATGAACGGTGAGCCTATAAGAGGCGAAGAAAATTCAAGACATTGGAGCTCATTAAAGCGAACGATTCTGATTGACAGGAGCTGGAAAGAGAGCGAGATATGGCATTGCAGCGCATTGAGGCACTTCAAGTTGAGGCTGATGGTCAAGCGAGTAACTTGAAGGAAGCCAACGTGAGATGCATTTACAAATTTCAAATTTAAGTTTTATTGACTAGCACTGTTATATTGCGTAAGTCGTTCAATATCTCAAAGATTTGCCACTATCACAGAGAACGAGTCAATAATTCGTAAGCTGTTGGACTTGTAGGAAGCTGTTAGTGCAGCTATGAAAAATCTTGAAGATTCAAGGACAAGGATAAGTGAGTTGGAGGAGGTGAAACAGGAGGCAGATGAGAAGATAACGAAACTCCAGGAGCAGGTGGATTATTGGCAGACGACAGCAGAAACTGCAGGAAAAAGGATGGATGTCTCCCGTGAAGTCGCTGAGAGTCTTACTAACAAGGTCTGGAACTACTCTAACTAGACATTATCTCCATTCGCTCATAGGCTCTTTCATGAGGTTCCGTTTGAGGATTGCCAAGCTTGCACGAAAGTGCTTGTTGCACAAAAGTTTAGAAGATCTTTCTCCCTTTTCTTAGATTTCTCGCTAGATATGATAGTCATGTGTCTCTTTCGTGTGAGCTCACATCCTCATTTTATATTCGTTAATCAGGTGGTCAAGTTAGAGACTCGGTGCGATGAGCTGACTGCCGCGTCGGACTCGGCAATACGGAATGCCGCTATCATGGAAGCTTCTTTAAAAGCTGATATATCAAGGCTCAAGTCTGCTGTAGCGGCTGTACAAAATGAAAAGCAATTGTTGCAGGTAAGCAAGCCTCTCTTTGAAACTATGCTTCCATGTGGTAAAATCTCATATAGACATTGACATGGTTCCTTCAGTCGTGAAGATTGGTTACTTCTGTAATTTCAGTGAAAAGAATCATAATTTCCAGTCTGAAAGTTCATAACGTGTATGTTGCTCCATGGACTGACAACGACCTTGTTCAGGTGTAAAGCGTTTCAGCTAAATTCATAGTTCTACAACTCTCAGTTACTTACTCTGCAGTCAAAACTATCTGATTTTAGCATTTTGAGTCGAACATATTTCAAATCTCTTCTTGTTCGTTCTTTAGGTGATGCATATGTACGAACTGCAGTAAGAAGCTTTCTGAATTGAATGAACGTACATTGAACGAAATTTTGAGTAGATGCAGTCCAAACTTGAACCTGCATTCTTCCAGTGATGATAGGAGAATTCTAACATCAAGGTCGTAATGGTGTGCTCAGTCTTGAACATGATATAACATGGAAATTCTGAGGTATACAATTACAGTACATGCCGTGGGTACACATCTACTTCATCCATTGATTGGACTATCTTTATAATCGTAGAATTTCATAAGGAATAAGACCTATATTTATGCTGGAGGTCTCCTATCTTTTGTCATAAATGCCACTTCTTGTTGAAATGCCTGGCCAAAGAGAGTGTCTGCACTTGTTCTAACATTCTTATTTGAATATTGCTTATAGATTGAATCTTCAGAAAAGATCTTGAAGGCCACCGCTGAACAGATTGCCTTGAGGGCAAAACTTTCAGACCTTGAAGGGCAGTCCAGGATGTTGCGGGCTCAGACTTCTGACGAAGGTCCTGGACCAGTATCAAAGTTTCGCCAAGGACTTGATAACCTCGGTTTGGAGGGAATCAGGGAGGAGCGTTTGCAACGGAAAGATAAACACCGCTACGGGGTACATGATTATCCTCCCATTTATTTTATCGCGCCATGAAATGTTATCCGATGAATTCTTTTCTTCCCTTTCAAAGTACAAATGTAGATTTATCATCTGTAAGACTGAAAGTTTTCTGAAAATTGTATAACACCATTGACACCATTGAACACATTTCTTTCTGAACCATCATGTTTCTTCAGGCTTGTTTGGCATGAGAATGGAAAAGTTAACATCTAACTGTTAATTTCTATAAACTTGATGAAATACGGTGTGCCGTTCATTGTCTGACCTAATGACATGAAACATGGTTGACAGGACGTCGAAAAGAATGGTGATAAAAGAAGCAATAAGGGTTACAGTCAATCATCATCTGTTGGGTCTCACAATTATTTTCCCAATTCTTGGACATGGCTGCAAGATCACCAAGATTCTTTACCCCGTGGTCGGGTGTCACGACGGTCCCTTATTGTGCTCATTTACATTGTGGCTCTCCATATCATGGTAAGAAGTTGGATCATAAGTGGCTTCACGTTTTTCTACAGTTTTCAGGTCATTCTGTCTTATTTTTAAGAAACTATGATGTTCTACCCTGTATAACTGCCCAGTAACAATTGCATACGTATTTAGAACCATATTCTTTCCATTATTATCAAGAGCTCCAAGAACAGATAAAGGGTAGTAAGTGTAGTAGGTAATTTAGTCCAAGTGTAGCGAGGGTACAATCATTAAGTGGCCTAAGGGTGTACACTCAGTCAAGAGCTTGTCTTAAATACAAAACGAAGGTTGTGTGCGATCATATCTACCATGCTAATATACTCATAGAGAAGACTGATCCACTGCAATTTTCTGGCAGGTCATGGTTTCGTTTACGCAACGATCTCAAAACTGTGTGGACATGATAGGTGAAGCGATAGGTGGCAAACTTCCTGGGAGGTGAAAATGACAGTAAATTGATTATTGGAGGAAGGTGCTCGACCCATTTCCAGACAGTAATTTGTGAAATCGCCTTAGTTGCCACATGTATAGATGAAAGAAAAAAGGAGACATTTAGATTCTTAACAGCTTGTCTCCATATCAGTTGGAGACTAGAATGCCAACATCTTGCTGAGGTTTCTTAAAGATTACAATTCAGGTCTTTTCTGGTACCAAGGCAATCCAAGTTACTTGGTTATAGGTACCGCTTCTTTGTAATCAATACTTCGTAGCACAACCCGTAGGAGATGGGTTGGACGTGCAAGCCTGTCAGTAGAATCTTCATTGTCTTGTGTCTAACCTTGGAAGCTAGTGCCTTTTTGGCAAAGATATTGGTGAAGTTTTCCCTTTTGAGAACGATTTCTCAGGTAAAATGAAATCAGGAGCAAGTTATAGACTCAGAGGATATAGTGAAGAGAGAACGTGTATGCACACGGCCGGTACATTCTGGAACGATGTGAGAGGATCAACAACTCTTGTGCTTGCCTCTCAGAACACTTATGAAGCACGATCACGGCAGTTATCAGAAATTTACCAAATGTTTAATTCTATTAGAGTTGCAACTTGTGTCATACAACATCTAGTAGTTTAAGAGAGGACGAGGTCCAGGATTCATCAACACGCTCTGTTTGGATTCATATAAAATATATGCCACCCTCTTTATATGAGAAGCCTCCGGAGTGTTTTTACTTGTCAATATTCTATTTCAGAAATCAATTCTCTAGGCTTAGCACCTGAGCTTTACTGCAGATCCGGAAACAAAGGGAAGTCATCGCTGTGAAGTCAGCGAGTGAACGTTGAAGGCACTTAAGTCCATATAATAGTGATGCTTGTACTAAACAGATGTATTCAGATTAAAATGTATATCGGGTCCACGAAATTGTTGTTAAAGAGTGAAGAACCATGCATCGGAGGGTGGTTCTCTCACATGTGGAGTGCACCAATCGACCGAATGTTGGCAGAAAAGTTTATGGTATCCAAGCAAAACTGTTGTGAGAAACTGATATACAGTTGGTATGTCCTTCACAGTCGTGCACACGAATTCATCAATGCAACTGTTATGCACAAACCCAGACTTCCACACATGGAAGTAGAGCATCACTTATTCAAAAAACTTGTTCCATCACCGCTTTGATGGTCCACTAATTTACATGTGGTGCAGCCGTGCGATAAACGAGAAAAGAGTACAATGTCTGGTTAGACAGGGAAAGGACTTAGTTTCACAACGAAGGGCTTGAACTCTATCTCTACTTTGCCTTGCAGCAGCTCAAGTCTGTTGCGTGGTCTAGATAGACTGTTCATATCATAGGTGTCAACGTTTTGAGCAGAATTCAAGTCTGATACCATCTTGTTAGATGCATCCGCGCAGGAAAAGTCGGCCTTTTCCTTTTCGTCCGTCGTTGATGCATCACCAGGGCTTCCGCTTGACGTACAAGATGTTCCAGCCTCGAAAGTCTTACCTGACCTTGTTGCCTTCTCTGCCTCTGGCTCTAAGCTCAGCCGTTGCATGTCACAATCTTCTCTTCCGCCGCAACATCCACTTGACGTGCTCTCGGTTTGAGGAGAAGCAATGACGATATTTGAGTTCTCGGTAGTGACAATTTGCACCCCTTCTTGGCTGCCAGTTGTTCCCTTCCTCAAAATAGTTTCTTCGTAAAAAATGCGCATGGCATCGGTTGAAGAAATGCTCGAAATTGAAGTATTCAGACTTTCAAGTCGATTTGTTGCATCTTTATCAGTGAGAAGCGACTCCTTCAATGCAGGGCTCAGCGCTGCGAAGGCACTGCCACATCCCACAGCTTCGACCATCAGTTTTCCTTGCAGTGATGCCTCATCCGATGAAGAATCCTTCCACTAGTAAGAGTTACACAGTTAAACAAAGAATCCCAAGGATGCCAGGACGTACGCCACTACACTAAATAGATTGAGCTGTGATAAGGTCATACCCAACAGGAAAGAAGACAAGAGAACAGCAGCCCCAGAAGAAAGCTCGTGCCATACAAAGTTCACAGCAATCTAGACAAAGCATAGAAAAAATTCGGCATCTGAGAGGAAGAACCTTGTGGCCCCGCGGGCCAGTCCCCAGTTGTATCCAGCGACGACAGCTTCCTCGAAGCCGACGTTGAATCCTTCTTGCGCTTTAGACTCTTTTCCTGCGCTTATACCATCCCGGTAGCCCAGCTTTCATCCGATCAAGGATTTCACAATTTTCAATCCCCATTCCACAGGGAGGAAGAGAAAAAGTAATCACCCGTGGACCATAGACAAAGCCCCGAGCGAGGGGTCACCGTCACCGGCAAAACTGATACGGCCAAGTGAAATCAATTCAATCTGTTGCATACTGACACTAAATTGATGAAGGATACTGTATGGAACTGATTCCGCCGAGCCTCCCATTCTCTAGCCAGATCCGCGTCGGTCTGAGACGAACGCCCCACGACACCAGCATCATCGTCGTCTGCTCCCCACACATCGTCCTCAAACTCTCGACTCTCGGACTCGGAAGAACCCATTCCACGCTCACTGGCTCACAGGCTCGCAGCCAGAATCGTCGGAGACGCAGACTCGGACCTCGATGACACAATCTCGTCGATTTGTCGAACCAGCAGCATCCCTAAATCTCGACTTCCCTGACATTGAGATTCAGGACCTTCGTTCCGCTGGACAAGTGGCAGGCTTCAGCAGTCAGCACAGCAGAGACTTAATTCCTGCCCCGACCGCGACACTCTAAGAGTCGCGGCTCTCCATTCGTTCGCTTGCCACGACTCATTCACCGGCGCTCCACGTTCTGTCGCGTCGCGCCGCACAATCCATGTATTTGGGGACCCCTGCAAGCCAAGACGGCGCGATGAACGTCCCGTCGGAAAAAAATTATAAGGATGGACGTGGTCGACTCGACCGGTGACCTCGGTGGTCGGCGATTCTAGTACAGTTTGCAGCCGGTGAGAATTTCATAAACTCCACTGTGCAGTATGCTCTGGTAATCAACCGTGGCTTCGAATTCACTGTCAGTGATTTATTTATTTATATATTTATGGCTGCCGTCCCGCTTTGATATCGAGGCACTCCGTCTGCGGCATCGATGGATGTTGGTCGAGAAGCGAGAAGCGAGAATCCTGCTGAATCGTGAGAGCTCCGTCTCTGCTGCTGCTGCTGCTTCTTCTTCTTCTTCGTCAAGAGCCAAGGTTGTCGCAATCGTCGCACTGAATTCTCAATTTGCCAATCTCGGAGCTCTACCCTACCCTAGATTCGTCCCGATTTGCTCGACTGGAGTACGCGAATTGCTGTGCTCTCTCTGTCACGTGAGTTCTATTCGTGGAGTCGAGGTTTGCTGTTTTCTCCGTGTGGAAATCTCGTGAAGCTATGAAAGAAGTTGGCACTCTGGTTTCATCGTTCGATTCTCAGTGGGTCGTTAGAATCGGAAGTGCGCGTGTTCCACGTGCACCAGAATTAATCAGGGATAACGTGAACTGCAGTTGGGAACGACGAGGAGCCTCGTATTCGCGGCGGGGGAAGGATGAGCGCCAGGTGGTCTGTAGATGAGCTTTTGAACTTGAATAAGATCAGGCGGAGCTGGAGGTAGCACTTTCAAATCGAGGAGACGTTGTGAACGGAGCGTTGTGAGGCCCATTTTCGAAGTGATGTCAAAGCGCTGTCAACGTTAACATTGGGAGCCGCGAATTCGATCGGCTGTTATGGGCGGCAATTTCGTTTGGAATTCATTGTTTTCTTTGGCACACGAGAGAAGAATTCAAGAGTTTATGCCATGGTGGAGTTTTTCATCCACCCGAGGAACATCTGGATGTCTCTCCGGGCGTGATTGTTTTCCCATAGGCCAAACTTGATGTTCGGGGTCGTGCTTTGTGAGCTTCCTGTCAACATCGCTCAACCGGACGACTTTCAGTGCTGTCAACTGCCCCACGTAATTTCGTGTATGCTCTTTTCAAGACTAGTGGATTTCCCCAAAACCAAAGCGGGATGAAACGCAACCATTGTAGCGAGCTCTGGGACTTCGAAGACGAACTTGTCGACCGGAATGGAGATGTCACGAAACCCACAATAGTTCTTGGAGTAGATGGAGGGGCCACCACCACGATTTCCATCTGCTTGTCGTCATCGACTCCCGCTGCCCATCCCAATGTCGTCGCGAGAGCTGTTACAGGCTCATCCAACTTCAACAGCGTTTCAGGTCAAATATGTTCGAAATCAGCAGAATTTTGAGCAAAATCACGGCTGTAAATTCCAGTGTCGGACCAGAGTCCGAAGATTCTCAGGCACTGAACGCTAAGCTTTGATGTTATGGATTTGCAGAAGAAACGGCAAAGCGGGCTCTTGAGCAGTCCATGGCGGAGGTTTTAATGCTATCTCGAGTTCCGCGAGTGGATGTACGAGTGGTTTGTTTGGCTCTTTCGGGAGTGAATTCTCCTCCAGATGCGGAGCGTGTCCTTTCCTGGCTTCGGTAAGGTCTCATTCTTATATCATGAATGCAGTGACTACTCCTCCGGATGCAGAGCGTGTCCATCGCGGTAAGGCTCAACTCCACAGGCTCCACTCCACTCCACTAAGCTTCGTGCGGATGCTGAGCGTGTCCTTTGCTGGCTCCGGTTAGGGCTCATTCTCTTCAGTCTTATCTAGTTCCGAAGAGCTTTTTTTTTGCGCAAACTTTCGCAGAACCATCATTTAATAATACTCCTCGCCATATGGAAGCCTCGATTGCGTGCCGGAGCGTTTATAGTAGAATTAAATGTAAAGTAGATGATATCTTTGGAAATGAAGAATTTCCAATAAAAACGTGGGCGATTGTATTGTGGAATATCACTGGGAATGTCAGAGAGGAGTTTTAGCGCACTAATAGTAGATCTCGGAGTTCACCGTGCTTGGAAACTCATAACATAACATAACATGTTACTCCTGTCACTTTGAACAGCAAAATGTTTTTGTCGTTTGAAGAGAATTCCAGTCTTGATCTTTGATCTATCAAGTTGTGGACGAGGGCTGGTACTCATGAACAGCTTGCTGATGAACGTACGACAGTCGGTGATTTTACTGGATGCTTCTGATGGAGCCGTTGAGTTTTCTCTCACTCTGTCGTAAAAGTGTCTTGCAGGGAAATTTTTCCGTGCGAAAGCACGAAGTGTTACGTGTACAATGATGCAGTTGCTGCCCTCGCTAGTGGAACAGCTGGGAGGAAATATGGATGTGTTCTCATAGCTGGCACTGGAACGATCGCTTATGGTTTCAACGAAGATGGGAAGATGGCACGTGCGGCAGGATGTGGACCGTTGCTTGGAGATCAGGGCAGGTAGTTCACCATCCACGTTAATCTTTCTTTTTTAATTCGTTGTTTTTTATTTTAATTTCTTCATGACTGGAAGCGGAGTAGTAAATCTCTTCGTTATTTGGCAAACAAAACCTGCCATTAAATATGATCGTTTGAATTTGGTGTTTCAGTGGACACGCAATATCTTCGAATGCATTAGCTGCAGTGATGCGAGCTCATGATGGACGTGGTCCTCCAACAACTCTCACCGCCGCTATTCTGAAGAAGTTAGACCTCACAACTCCAGAAGAAATAGTCGGGTAAGCAATTAGTTGCAACGTATCTGAATAGTACTGGGTTCGTAAGCTGGAAATACCTTCTATGCAGAAACCTTTGGGAAATTATAGTTTAAACTTGAGCGGTTTCCGAGCTCAGCTAAACTTATCTACATCCAACCTTTCTGGCAAGTGCTGATCTATTGTTGGACAGGTGGGTTTATGCAGATACTTCCTGGGCGCGGGTGGCGGCCCTGGTTCCCACCATCAAGGCTTGTGCCAAGAACGGCGATGAAGTGGCTATCGGTATACTGGAAGATGCAGCCGAAGAGCTGGCGATCAGTGTGAAAGCTGTTGTTCGTGCCCTCAAACTAAGTGGCCATGGTATGTTTTAATCCCTCAACTCGAGTAAATACGGTGTAAATTAAGAGGTCTAGTATTTCGTTATTTAGGATCTAGTTGGCACAAACGTTGACAACATTAATCATGAATGGAGGCATGGGATAACGGATTTCAAACCAAGGTGCTGTAACACCTTTGATCAACCCTTTAAATCCGGAATGTTTGTCACATCAGGGTCAAGCCCACTTACTTTTAGCATGAGGTCCTGTCCCGTGCATACTGTTAAGATGGGCTTATTTCTCCCTGAGGTCTAAATCTCTGCATCTAAGAAGACACTGCGTAGGTTGAAGTCCATGTCTGCCGAGCTCCTGTAAAACCCACATTTGAAGTGTAATCTCGAAGAGTTCGTTGTCTATCTTTTTCCTTTTTTGATTTGTTTGAGCTGTGTGAAGATGGCAGCGAACCTTTCCCCTTCGTAATGGTGGGCGGGGTTTTGGAACACGAAGAAGGGTGGGATTTATGTAAGCCTCTCATCGCCAAAGTAACACAAGCATTTCCAGGAGTTCAGGCCATCCAACCGAGTGTAAGGATGATACTCCGTCTCATAGAACGACAAGAAGAGACATTTCTTTTACACAAACCGTATGTCGACAGTGAGGCTTGAGGAATAGAGTTGGAGCTTGCATATGCAACGGCACATACCAGAAGACCGTAGAATGAAGATTATCGGTGGAGCTAGCATCTGGTTTGAGTTCCAAAATCTCAGGCTCCAGGGAAACTTGGCCCCATTCTAAGAATGCTGCACTAGTTCTGTGAAGACATGGGAGAGAATAGCCAACATGATATGTGCATGACTTCGTCTCGTGTTTCGCAGGTTGAGCCTGCTGTCGGTGCTGCTTTGGTTGCGTGGAGGCATAATCTTGAGGACTCTGGTTCAATCTTTTCTTCTGATTTTAAAGTTGATTCATTTTCAATCACTGTTGAAGGTGTAGTCTGCTGACTTTGTAATTATTGTGTACAGACATTTGTAACTGTTGAATAGGTTGGCCACGGGGTACCTTGTAGTTATGAGATATACATCTCCAACAAGATTTCAACCGAAGAAGTTTTATTTCGACAAATCCAGCACGAAGTACGCTTGTGAGACAACAAAAGTATTTCAATTCTTTTGTTGCACCCACTTGTTTGGCACAATGACCAGGACCAGTAGGTCTGCCGATCGAACATGCCCAAAACTCAGAGACAATCCTTTAAAAATATAATCAGTGCTATACTGTCGATGCAGTCCTTACCAAACGTGAGGATGTGCCTGTAGATAATGATTTGCTTCAAAGCTGTGGTCTTAATTCCACCAGATGTGGAGTAAAACTGCAATAAAAGATTTCGGCACATGGGGTTTGATTTTTCATTGGTAAATATTAATCTATGCAAAGTGGATCACTGTGAGGATGGAATCAGCTCTCATGTGAACGCTCGACACATAACTGATGAGTTAACCTTCGTGAATAGTAAGTCTGTGTTAAGCGTTATGTTCATTCCGTCTTAAACCTCGAGCCAGCATAATATCCTTGACATACAAGGTAAACAGTTCTACTGTCCAGAGCTGGACAGTAAAACTGTCACAATGAGGGATTGCTTCTATGTTTACAAAGAAGCTAACATTTGGAGCAGTGAAGTTAAATCACAGAAAAATCTTAAAATTTGCTTCAAACTGAGGAAAACTGGGGTGCACAGTTGGTCCTCCATATCTAGGTGAGTATTATGCCTATAACTTGTGAGACTCAGCGATGAAATAGTTCAAGTGAACTGCTGAAATGTCATTACTATGGCCAGTCAGAATACTTCTTATGAGGACAATCAATGCCGATCGTTTTAAAATCAACTCGTTAGAATACATGATCCAATGTGTGATACTTTGAACTCTCGGCACCCTGACAAATCCAGGATGGGTGGTGATTACACCGAAAACGTATGAAATCATCACCGGCAGTCATTGACAGTCAGCTAGCCCCTGGACCTCCTTCATTGTCATTGTAGAAAATGGGGAAAAACTCACCAACCACTCGAGATGAGTGCACCGAGTACGTCTTCCACAACACCAACGAACACATGGCAACGAAGCCTCGGGGGATCTCAGTCCACGAAGGAAGGGAAGGGTGGACTGAGATTCCTCGAATCTGGGCGGGCACAGATATCGAGAATCAGAGATGCGGGAAGAGTGATTGACTGACAGTGACAACGAGCCACAAGAGGCGTGTGGCACAAGGACGCGAAGCCGGTAAGCCACAGCAGCCGTGTCGAGTTCTGAATGGCTGACAACGCGGTACGCAGGTCGAGGCCGACTCCGTTGGCTGGCAACTATGTAAGATGTGGGGCGACCACAGTGGCCGTGGGGTCTCGATGGCGCCTTGTCCGTGAGCATGGAGGGTCATAAGCAGCGCTAGGGGAGGCAGTCGAGGAGGCGGTGTCAGCTTCAGTTTCTGTGCTTCTCCAGCAAATCTCTCTTCCCCTTCCCTTCCCTTATTCGGGCACGAATCAGAACTCGCCGGGCTCTGATCGCTCGCAGTGGCAGAGGCGTGTTTGGCGCTTCCGGAATCGATGCAAGCTGCTGCCACGGCTGGAAGAATTGAATCATCGAGAGGCAATCGGAGCGATTTGAGGAATTGTTACCGTGGGCCGACATTTGAGAAGCAGGCGAGGATTTGAGGATTTGAGGATTTGAGGATTTGAGGAGGACGAGGATTTGAAGAGGAGGACGAGATGGGTCGGAAGAAGGATGAAGCGGCAGGCGGAGGTGCCACGGCGGGTGCAGGGAAGAGTAGCAAATCGAGCAAGGATGCTGCTCCCAAGAAGGAGAGGTTGAGTGTGTCTGCGTTTTTGTCGAACATTGATAAGCCCAAGTCTGAGAAGCCCGCTCCTGGATCGAAAGCGAAACCTAAAACTGCTCCGAAGGCGACGAGTGCGTACACGGATGTGGATTTGCCTCCTTCCGATGAGGAGGAAGAGGAGGTAGAGGGAGCAGGAACCGAGGAAGAGCAGATTGCCAAAGTGGGCAGACGACATGCGAAAACTGCCCAACCATCGGCGCTGGATGTGTCTGTGTCCGAGCGCGAGGCCAAGAAGAAAGAAAAGAAGGAGCAGATGATGGCTGTCGCGCAGGAGGCTGCCCGACAGGAAGCTCTGAAGGATGACGGGAATGCGTTTTCGGTCGTCATCGGAGCCAGAACTGCCGCCATGGACGGAGAGGACGGGCACGACGCGAACATGAAGGATATCAAAATTGATAGCTTCTCTGTCTCTGCTCGTGGTAAGGAGCTTCTGAAGAACACTGCCCTTACCATCGTGCATGGTCGAAGGTACGGTCTAGTCGGTCCGAATGGTAAGGGAAAGTCGACTCTGCTGAAATTGCTAGCGTGGAGGCAGATCCCTGTCCCGAAGAACATCGATGTGCTACTTGTGGAGCAGGAAGTCGTGGGGGACGACAGAACTGCTCTTATGGCTGTTGTCTCTGCCAATGAGGAGCTCATGAAGCTCAGAGAGCAAGCCGCGAAGCTGCAGGAGCTTTCTTTGACGGAGGACAAGGAGGACGATGCAGAGGGGGAAGATGCGTCTGAAAAGCTCACCGAAATTTACGAGAGCTTGCAGGCTATGGATTCCGATGCGGCGGAAGCTCGAGCATCCAAGATTTTGGCGGGTCTAGGGTTTACTACCGCCATGCAGGGCAGGTCCACAAAATCATTCAGTGGAGGTTGGAGAATGCGAATTTCTCTTGCTCGGGCCCTTTTCGTTCAGCCCACACTTCTTCTCCTGGACGAGCCTACGAATCATCTGGATTTGAGGGCCGTGATCTGGCTGGAAGAGTACCTTATGCGCTGGAAGAAGACATTGATTGTGGTTTCTCACGATCGTGACTTTCTCAACTCAGTTTCAACAGATATCATTCACTTGCATGATGAGAAGCTGCATTTTTACAAGGGAAATTTCGGTGCATTTGAAGAGATGTATGAGCAAAAGCGACGCGAGAACAACAAAAAGTTTGAAATTTATGAAAAGCAGTTGAAGGCAGCTAAACGAAGTGGCAGCAAAGCTCAGCAAGACAAGGTGAAAGATCGAGCGAAAATGGCTGCAGGAAAGGAAGCTAAGTCCAAGGGTAAATCGAAAGCAGCTGCCGACAGTGATGAAGTTGCTGTGGATGCCCCTCACAGGTGGTCTGATTACGAAGTCAAGTTCCACTTTCCGGAACCTACAGAACTTACGCCTCCATTGCTCCAACTCATGGACGTGGGATTCAGTTATCCTGGCAGAGACGACTTTAGCCTCCAGAATATTGATGTGGGTGTTGATATGGGTACCAGAGTGGCAATTGTGGGACCAAATGGTGCCGGTAAGTCGACCCTCTTGAATCTGTTGGCAGGAGATCTGCAGCCTTCTGAAGGTCAATCCAGACAAAGTCAAAAGCTCAGAGTTGGCAGGTATTCTCAACATTTTGTGGATTTATTGCAAATGGATGAAACACCTGTGCAATATCTCTTGAGGCTCTATCCTGAGCAGGAGGGTCCTAGCAAACAAGAAGCCGTTCGGGCCAAGCTGGGGAAGTTTGGTTTACCCAGCCACAATCACCTTACTCCAATCGTGAAGCTGTCCGGAGGGCAGAAGTCGAGAGTTGTCTTCACATCTATCAGCATGGCCCGGCCACACATTTTGCTTCTGGATGAGCCTACGAACCATCTAGATATGCAGAGTATTGATGCTTTGGCGGACGCCTTGGATGAGTTCACAGGTGGAGTTGTTCTGGTCAGTCACGATTCTCGTTTGATCTCAAGAGTGTGTGAAGATGAAGAACGAAGTGAGATTTGGGTCGTTGAGGACGGAACTGTAAGTAAATTCCCAGGAAGTTTTGAGGAATACAAGTTGGACCTCATCAAGGAAATTGTTGCTGAGGTCGAGGAGTAGCCTGTGCCTCACCACTGGTGAAGTCACTTGTAACCTTAGTCCTTCTTTTCTTTTCATCTCCCCTTCCTTACTGATGTCCAATTGAGGATCAAAAGATATATCCCTTCGAAGTTGTCAAGTGAGGTGTATTTTAGAATGCCGGTACGACATGTAGCTTAATGTGGACCTTCATTTACTTTGCCCATGCCAGTGAGCAGCTCTTTGCGCTCCTGACCTTGAGGTTCTGCATACCACATCCCAACGGCTCCATGTCTTGAGCCGGTGCTTGGGATGTTGACCGTCTTAGTCGAACGCGGAGGAAATTTAGGAAGATGTGTTTCTTGGGAGTTGCTTCTAGTTCTGGAGGAGCAGAGGCTGAAGTGTTCGGCTGTTGTCTTTTCTTCTGGAGATGGTCAACAGAAACTGGGTTACTGATTTTTGAAGTTTAATACTGATCAAGTCTGCACGAAGAGATCATATCTGCCTAACATGTGCCTGTATTGGTGAAGGGACACAGAGATGAAAATTTGAGTCTTGCCGAAGTATAGCTTCTCGGGAAGTTTTTCTTAGTATTTGAGATAAAGGTCAAGTAGGCTGACTGACGAGAATAGGAGACATGACATCAAAGGGTGAGCCCAAATGTTGATAGGAACTTTTTCTCCTATTTCAATGGATGAAGTCGAGCTGCTCTCATTTATTGTCTTCGATTATTGAAACCCTTCGTCTTATTTTTTATACGTTGTCAGGCTCTGCTTGTCTTCAAATTTTTTCCTAGCTCACTCAGGTATATGATTGATTTCAAATGATGGATGCTTGGTTATTGGATCATGTGTAAGCACACTTACCGTTTTTCAATTAACTGTCAAAGCGGCTCTCTCTAGTTGCATTATTTGCCAATACGAACAAGCACTTCAATCCTGTGATGAAATATATCAAGTGTCCGAATCACACTTGAGTCGTAGGAGATCAGCCTTACATAAATGCAGTTGCATGTACTTATGATCGAAGCACGGAACTTATTGCCATTGGGCTGTGATGCGTGCAGTAAAATTAAAGGCATGCTCTGCCTGTCATTCCGTCACTCTAATACCAAATTCAACGCGGAAGTGGAATCTGCAGAACTTGCACACACATCCACTTCATACATGTTGAAGACTTTTAATGTCCTTCCTGCACATGTAAGACAGAATATTTCATTGTTCCGACTGGCTGCCAACAAGGATTTGAAGGTCCGACAACAGTACTCAAACGCTTGGGTACACCACAGAACTACTCGTGGACTAAGCAGATGGCGAGGGCAAAAGCATTTGACCCTTCGGTCCGAGTGTATGACGACACATCTAAATCGTACAACGGGCAGAGGAAGGAATTATGTATCAGATGCAAAGCATGTAGGAAAATCTGGTTGTGCACAGGGATAGGCAGATATGCAGTCAGCTAATGAAAGGGTTTCATCCGCAGTGAAAGAACTCAGCTATGCTAAACTCTCAGCAAGAGCATCACTATATCATCATTGTAACAGGATAGAACATTCTTTTGGTGATTTTTCCTGCAAAGGCCGAATCGATTCAGACATAGAGTTTAAATTGGATAACAAAAAAGGATCAGAAGAGTCACATAACCACGAGTATCAACGCTCATGGTACAAATATAGATGCAAAATCATATCAGTGCAGTTTCTACAGTACCGGCAATACATCTGGTGAAGCGTCTTCAAACCAGGAAAGGTACAATCCCATCATCCATGACTAACTTAAGTATAAATGAAGCTAATGCTGAGCATTGGGAATCATCCTTAGCTTCAACTTTTTCTTTCACGGTGATTCTGTGATAGCCAGTCTGTGTTATTATGGTTCAAAGCTTTGAGCACCAAAGGCTGGAATGTTCCTCTTCATGCACAGACTATTGCAATAGTCAAGGGATGGAAAGTTATTAAATAACACTTGACATTCATCGCAGTGAATACTGTGAGGTGTTAAGATTCGTCGATATCCATGAACGGTTATTTACCTGCTTTTCTGCAAAGAGCATTAGGATTGAATTCCATTCATTCAGTTGAATTAATACTTGAAGTTAGACATATTTTGAGAGTTGACGAGACTAGATATGAGGATTTTTCATTTCAAGATCTTACACTTGTTTCTGCATCAAGTACCACAAGAAAGTACGAAGTCTTTGTACGTCATTAATGATCAGCTGGTTGCATTCTCCCTACAGAACTCCTTTGATATTAATTTAAATGTGATGTATGAGGAAATTTGAACATTGATATAAAGAATGATTATTCTTAGCTAAGTGATTACTTTGATCAGTATATTTTCCAAGTGTATGTGTGTATATTCATATACTGGACAATAGCAGATATACATCATTGTTGATTTATAAATGAAGAATCAACAGTGCTGTCTGCAACTCGTCAGTACCCACAACTGTACTTGGAGGGGGAGAATTCTGAACGAGCATGTGGTGGCATCCCCCAGTGTGACGCTTTGGCGTGCTCTTGGACACACCCTGTCGTGTCATCAGAACCTCCAGATGTTGGACTCGTGATTTTTGACTTCGAGGAAAATGAGTGAGTAGGTCGGAAGTGTCAATCCCGACATTTTCACTCGAAGGGCAAAAATCAAGCCGCCGTATTCGAGAACTCTGGAGAGATTTTGGTGTACTATGGTGAAAGAGGATCTTTCTTTCAGTACAGTACGGAGTTTGGTTCGTTCTAATCGGCCACACGAGAGCACAAGCATGTACGGGACGACGACATTGATCTGCTTGATACTTCGTCCCAACTGGAATCACATCGTCGAGTCTACTTTTACAAAATTTGACGGGCAATTTGGAAAAAACGAGGCTCCAGTGCAAGATTCCGACGGAATTCCTGGACATTCATTCGTCTCCTTCTACTGGAGGGGCCCCTTCATCTTCTTGCGACCTGGTGCTATACTCGCAGCAACGATCTGCGTCCTCGTCTCGCCCTTCGCTTCTCAGAGCATTTACGAGAGATGAGAGCGTATCATTGTCCGGAAGGGATCCGTGGCAGCGAAGTTCGTCGAAGATCTCTAGAGCCTTCTCCACTTTGTTGTCCTTGCCCAAATACCGGATGAGCGTATTGTACCTGCTCGCGTTCGGCCGGATCCCATCGTTCTTCATTCTCTCGAAGAGAAGGACCGCGTCATCAACCCGACCGGCCTTGCACAGAACTCCGATCAGAACGCTGGAGATTTCGGCATCAGGTTCGCAACCCTTTGCTACCATTTCGTTGTATAATTGGCTGGCTAAGTCCACTTTCCCTGCCCTGTCAAGCTCTCTGATCAGCAGCTTGAACGTGTGCGAATCGACTTCGCATCCTGACCTAACCATCTCCGTGTAGGCAATGTACGCTTTGTAGAAATGTTGATTCTTGAGCAGCGCATTCACGAGGGTGTTGTATTGTTGAGCCGTAGGCGGGCTCCCGAGTCTGGTCATGTGATTCAAGGCGTGGAGAGCTCGTTCGACGAGCCCTGCACTGCCGAAAGTCTTGGCCATCTTCATACAAGTGTCGGCAGTTAAATTGCACCCCTCCTCGTGCATATCCTCGAGGACGAAGAATATGGACGTGAACTTCCGGCTCTCGCACAAAATCCCCAGCATTGCGTTGTACGTTTCGGAGGTGTGTTTGAATCCCATTTGCTTCTTGGCCCAGACGAAGAACTTCCACGACAGACCAGGACTGACGTTCTCCTGAGTTAGCACCTTGAAGACGAGAGTCGGATCAACCTTGAGGCGTAGAGCCTTCAGTTCCTTCACCTTTTGATATCTCCAATTGCCTTTCCCTCTGATGATTTCGAGAATGTTGACGAGATCGCTTTCCGACGCAGTCTTGAAGCAACTCTCATCCTCCTCCTGCGCCTCGTGCTCATGCAGTCGTCCAGGATCGCAACAGTCTTCGTTCTTCCGCGCAGCAGCTTGCATGCTCAGACTGCCAGATTTCTTGTCCAATTGGTTTGCACCAATGGAGAAGCCACTGATCCCGCTCTTCATCAGCAGATGTTGGTTTCGATCACAGTGCGACGGCGTTGTGGCATTCTCGTGACGTCGCCACACGCAAAAACCGCGCTGCTGTATGCCAGAAATCGAAACCATATTGCTAACCCGGGCAGTGGAAGAGAAATGCATGCCCCCGCCTGCGCAACTCGGCAGGCAAAATCGAAAGGTAGAAATCGCCATCCTCACGCAAATAATCCCTCAGCTGGGATGCTAAAATGCAAGCAGGAGCTCGAGATTGGCAGGTCCGAAGATGGGGCCTAGATGGGTGCGACTCCGCCTCCTTCCGACCCTGAAACGACCCGCCTCAAAATCCGCCTCCAAAATTTTGCACGCAACGAGACGTCCGTCCCCATGGTGTGCACCGACCACTCCAATTTGTGAGCAGAACAATGCCAGTACTAGAATCCAATTCCTTTCCGACTCTGATCATCTCGAAATCCTTCCCGACGCTCTCCGATCGTTCCGGCTTTCACTGGGTACGAGTAGCGAGTCACGACACTGCTAATTTTCACAATCCCATTCCCGACTCCTCCGCAAGACCCACAGCACGCATTCCGCCCACAAATCTGATCCGCTTTGTCGATGAACCCTAAACCCTGCGGCAATTCCAGATCGCCATAGCCATAACTGACAACTCGCCAAAATCCTTCCAACTGCTGCTTCGGCCCAACAACAGGTCCGCCGCACTCTATACCGCGGCACTACGATATAAGAACTTAATAGGCCAAATACCCCTCTATAAGAACTCAGGTCTGACCCTCGTAAGAACATCGTATCTACACATCTAAGGGGGTTTGGAACTCTTCTGTAAACCCTTGCGTTGTTCCCGCAACGGAGGCTACCGAAAGAGAAATTTATGGGTTTTGTTAAACGTGAGAGCGGGCGATACTCACTTCAGTTATATTTGCAATTGAATTATAATGAATATCGTGCAATAATGTCATCTGAGACAAAATATCACATTGTGCATAAAATCTTGTTTAAATACGAACTCAAATTATATCAAATTCTGAATATGTCAATTGCAATCTGAAAATCTAGGACTACACAATACTAAATGCTGTAAAAAGTGCTATTGGTTTAAAAAAGCCTTACTAAAAGTTGAATATAAATCAGTACATGCAATATACAGAATGAAAACATAGACAGTTTTTTATCAAACTTTGAGCGCTAGAAATTTGATGTATTTTCTCTATAACATTACAATTTTTGTGAAAATTGTGATACATACTTAATAAACAAGTTGTAAAGTGAATAAATGTCATACAATAATGTGTACCATCTATGTATAAAATATTTTGAGCTAACTACATGTGAAGAAATTGATGAAAATAATTAACATGTTATAACTCAATATGAAGATTTATGAAGTCTTTGATAAAAGAATGAAATTTCTAAATTTTAATATATAATAAAAAAATGTGTTTATAAGAAAAATTGGAATCAAAATATATTTTTAATATATTAAATAATAATATAAATTTCAATCCAATATCTTCAATATTCAATAAATATTTTTTTGTTTGATTTTTAAGCTTATTATAAAATCACAAAAATTTAATATGTATAAAAAAAATCAGAAAATTACTTTAATAAATGAGATAAAATCATAAAATGGTTTTTTCAAATATATTTTTTTTCAGAAAATTCAGTAGATTATTGTACGTGATCAAATGATTTTATTTAATTGAATAAAATAAATTTTGCACGATCTTTTCAGAATTTGAGTTTGCATAGCATCATAGCATTCATTTATGAAATTAATGTTATTTTATTGATTTTATAACATACAATTTTTGTAATTGAGCCTAAAGAGTAATCAAATATAATTCAAAAATTCCATTCCACTATAAAATTAAAAATAAATTCAAAAATCAAATTTTTCTCATAAACCTGTTTTAAATCTAATATTTTATCCAAAAAAATATCATAATTTGAGTTTGTGTGTAGAATTTTATAATGTTACATATAGTTTATTTCAAGAATAAATGATATTTTCTTCAAAATAAAATTAACATGACTAATAATCAATAATGTAAGGATGAGAGGAGGGTTCTAATTACACATTACATGCAAAAACATGTTGATTTTAAAAAAAAATATTTTACTTTTGTTGTGGAATTAGTATGATCTGATTCTTGTGCTAATAATTTCAGGTTTTGACGTGAGATATATAATAATCATTTGATGATCTTTAGTGTTATGAGAAATAATGTTGCAGATTTGACTACACTTATCACGGAAAGTCATTAAACTTGAGAAATAATGTTTGTGAAACTCATAAACATTTTGTCGATAGGACTTAAAGAAAAACAAAAAATAGTTCAATACCAATCAAAAAGTACTGTTTCATTCTCTACGAAAGAGTTAATGTTAAAAAAAGAAATCACATCGTGATCATTCGTAGGTATCAAAATTCAATTCGATACTTATACGTGCACAAATTCATTCTATAGTCCTGGTCTTAAAAAAGAAAAGAAAATTAGGGGGTTAAATACGTAATAGACCATGAATATGATGATGTGATTGGTGAAACGAACAAAATAACCACTATACATGTGATCATATTAGCATGATAGCAGCATATTGTACTAATTAGTGACTGGATTTAGATAATAGTGTATAAGGAAATAGTGTGGCACAGTGGACTGTTGTGCAATTCCCGACAGTAATAAACTGATTAGGAGGCTGATTAGAAGGCTGATTAGCGAATTGGTTAGCGCAGAACAGCGCAGAGTTGATGGAGCGGCCGCCACTTCGTAGCAGGTTCTGATTATCGATCGAATTCTGAGGCCGACAGACAGCGAGCGACTTGTTGGTGCAAGATCCGAAGCGATTGAAGCTCAATTGCGATCGAGCTGCGATCGAAGTGCTGCCGTGTGATGAGCCCAAAGTGAAGAAGGAATGGCGGCGTCTGTATCGAGTCGTCAGTTGTTTTCACAACTGAGGCTTCAGCTTCAGCTTCGCTCACCTCTCGCGCTGCAGCAGCACACGAATTTTGTCCACTCTCGGGCGCCTTTGTTTGCCTCTTCAAGCAAGGAACATGCATCCTCCCTCTCATCATCATCATCCGATGCGCCGCCGGAGTCTTCCTCGTCGTCTTGGTTGCAGAAGCTGAAGGGTTTGTGGGGTGGTAAGACGGAGGGCCCCTCCGATCGACCTCAGCAGCAGCAACCAGCTTCCAGGTCTCCGCCCACCGTGTCGTCCGAGGAGCAATTCGACCTCGCAAGTATGTGGGTTCAGATTCTAGAGTTTTGTGATTGGAATTTGAACGCGAGACAAGCAGTAGTAGCATTTTTTCGTCGACCTTGTTCCAGGGCATCTTCCGCTGGCCGGCAAGCACACGTCCGAAATTGAAGTGCGCAGATTTTCGGTGGAAGTTATTTCTGACGCTGTTGGTGTGTCGTGTTCGCAGCCTTCGCCGACCAATTGAAGAAGGCGCGCCAGTTTGGCAAGCTGACGCAGTTTGGAAGAGGATTGCCGAAAGGCGGCGAGGCCATCGCTCAGCGATCTCTTGAAAGGCAGGAAGAGATCCTTCGAAAACTCGCAACGTACAGCCCTGATGGACAGGTGTGTATCAACTCCATGTTTCGAGCGATGGATGATCCATGCTTCCATCCTTGCGCCGTGCAGGAGTAGGAATGGCTGGTGAATTTTGGGATTACCTCGATGATGATCTGCTGTACTGAACTAGAGAATTCGCAGTCAGTTCTCGTCTCGTCGAAAGGAACATTTTGAGAATGGAATGAAAGGGTAGATGGATGGAAGGCTGGATTTGCAGGTGCAATTCAAAATATAAGGAAATTCGGGCTGTGCCGGGTTTGGGGTTCAGCGTCTCAGTGTTCAACAAAAGAGTGAAGTCGCGACACAATGCAGTTGCACACTGCGCGATGTGGAAGATGTACTCGGCAAGTATGAATGGACCAGGGAAGCCAATGATCGCATTATGAAGCTCAAAGCCGAAGGCAAACCCCTGCCAAAATCTTTGGACGAGGTAATGTTACCGTGTCCCATTTTCTAATTAGAGTTTCACGGACCTTCCAGATACTTCTAGATCATCAGAACCTAAATTTACGTGGCTGGCTTGCTGGTTCAACTTCAAATCTACTCGAGAGTGCTGATGAACTGCCCGAGTCTCGCATCCATCTTGTTGAGCTTCTTAATCTCCTTTGTGTTCCAGAATCTGAGAAAGAGATTCTTCTTGTCAGCTCGTCTACCAATTCTGTGAACAATTATGTTCTCCCTCATACTTTCTACTATCGAGGGACCAGGGTTCGAGAAACTAATCCAACCTGAAGCTGTTTGGATCATATCCAAACGTCGAGCTTCCATTTGACATTCCTCCTTTTTGCAATTGTGTGGATGTTGCCTTTGGTCCATTTGGTGTTGCTTTCCTGCTCATGCTGACTTGTGTTGATGTTGGTTGTTGGCTTGTCGCTGATGCCATTTTGAAGATAGAGAAATTGATGGGAGGACGATGGAAACCATCAGCCTCTGTTAACCTATCGAAAGAAACCGGTGGTCAACATAGTCGCAACTCCCCTTGCCCTTGTGGGTCAGGAAAGAAGTACAAAAGGTAAGCTGGCTGCCCCGCTCCCTCAGCTCGTTTGGAATGACAAGAGCAATTGAAAGTTTCAGCTGAACACGAATATCGCAGCGGCAGCAACTTCTATCAGTCCTGATGTTGGTTCAATTTGCTGACTGGCGTGTCAGGTGCTGTGGAAAAGATTGAGTCTCCAAAACGATGTCTGGACGTATGTCAAAAGTCAGGCATTGTTTCAGGATTACAGGTCCAGTAATGGCAAAAGAGAAAGGAGTTTCACAAGTGGCAGATACGAAGAGCACGTAGTAGATCCAGGTTACACAACAAAAGTTTTTTAAATATTATGTTCTGGAGGCTACTTCATAACAGCAAGTGGGCACGGAGAGTTGTGTCCTTTTCGCCACTATCCTCTTTGCACTAGTGACAAACTCTTTAGATGGCAGATCAGAACTCAGGACTATCATTGTCAGATCTGAGTTTTGTTAGGTGAGGACAATTATTATGATGGTGACGCAAGGCAACTGCCTCAATGTGCAGTTCGGGGCAATTAGGAGACTTCAATGCATGTGAATCCCGATCAGTTCAGGCCGGTTCTGAGGTTGGTACATTTGCTCTGAATTGGCAAGGGAGCCATTCTTGTTTCTATTGAAATCTAGTGGAAAGGGTCTGAATGACGATCACAAACACGTGCGGTTTCTTTGAGTGAAGGACAGTTCTATTCCACAGCTTCCAGCACTGACTCAGCAGTCTGAATCTAACAATGAAACATTTGTCACTAGATCAGGGGCAGGTGAAGAGAAAGGTATTTCTTTCTCTAGGTGCTAACTTTTATGCCAAGTTATACTGCATCTTTAGGCTTCTCTTAGAGCGTAGACATTGTGTGATTCTCCGGAACTTCATGTACAATATGCACATATGGATTCAAGTTATGACTCGGTCATCATTTTCTGGAAAGTCTGTTGAAGTCCTTTTGTTTGAAGGTTTCCTACGGGAAGTGAAGAAAAATAACAATACCCAAAGATAATGTGAAACGTTCGAAAACTCCTAATTCTTGAGTGTTTCCAGAGTATGTTTTAGCTGCGAATGGATCTCAGCTTGGAAATAGCTGTAGTAGCATTGAAATAATGTTCCTTGAAATCTCCAGTTTATGCTTGAGATTTAAAAATTGCTCTGCTGCATATAAGAAACGAAGATTCAACAACGAAATACAGTAGATCAAGAAACTGGTTAGAAAGGAATAAGAAGTATTAAAGAAGATTTACTGTCTTGAGTTATGATGAAGAGTATGCTTTTGTTCTAAGTCAATCTTTATCTTCGGACCTACTGGTAATGTACTTCACCAATCATGGTGAAGTACATTACCAGTAGTCCACAAATTAATGAACGGTAAATGAACAGAATGCGGAGCAATTTTACTCTCATGAAGACAGATAGTTTCAGTCACTTCTTATGATGAGGCCGAGTATCCAGCACTCCTCCGGACACTTGCTGAATCCTTGAGTACATCGATTAGAATTTCAATGTCTTGGGTACGCCTGCGATTTCGCGATACGTCTCTCGTGTGCACGGAGCAATAAGACAGCTCAAAAGAGAAGTCATTTAGTAGGAAAGAGAATCGTGTCTTCAGCACAAGAAGAAGGAACCCACAAAATGTGATTACGATCAAGCTCGTCAGTTGTTATGTTAGTGTACCAGAAAAGCGCAAAGTTTGTTGGTTCAAGCAACGTGTTGCGAGTGGGAGTCGCACTATGCCTGGCACATTAGTGCCCAAAGAGAGGGACATCCAAGAGCAAAGCCTATCCAAATTCGTCCCATAGAAAACGTGGACCTCGAATTCGTATGCTTGAACTCGATTCACACGCATCGGAATTACGCGACAGAAAAGTCGACGCCCTGATCACGACGACACTCAAGCAGCAGCAGCAGCGGCAGCAGCTTCACAGTCTCGTGAAGTAGCGGTTGGCGCGGAAAGGGGCGGGGCCAGGCGCCAGTGGTCAGTGGTCAGCGGAGCTGAAGTCAGCAAGACTGAAGTTACCGCTAAATTGGCGTAGTAGTGTATAGCGGAACTGCCAGACAACGTTGCTAGGGTTTAAGGAAACCCTAAACTATTGGCTGAACCACGACGAATTGTGCGCGCCTCGTGCGCTGATCGGGCCCTTGCACAACTGAAGCGCGGATGCAGGTGCAGGTGCGGATTTGGCGTCTGATTGCACATCTCGCCCGTCGTCAGCATCATCTATGAACACCCGACGCATTTCGGGCAGCGAGGAAGGTCGGTTTGTGGACCCAAAGCACTCGGCGTCAATCGGCCGTCGGGTGGCTTGCATCGGAGACCGTCGTTTGTGACATTTTTGGACGGAGTGGAAGCTCGTACTCTGGAGTTGGACTTGCAGCAGGCAGCTGAAGTTTATCCCCGCACTCTTGATTTTGGAAGGAGCCGCTCTCACCGCCTGGAGCTCCTGCTGGTGAGATTCCAGCTTCCATCCGTCTGGTTCATTTCACTCTATAAATCCTTAGTATCGCGTTCTTTGATTCCCATGGCGTCTTTAGAGCCCCATCTACTTGTGTTCGGATGTGTATGCAACAATTAGTAATACCGGTGACCTCTGAGGAACCGCATTGTTTCAAGATCTACAGTTTTTCGGAGTACGTGTGTAGTGTTGTAACTCTCGAACAGGATTGGCTGGTATTTTTAATTTCTACTTCGGAAGGAAACCCCGTTAGTCCTGTTTAGGAACAAGCCGCCTTTTGTGTGCCGAACTCTTAGCCCACCTCGTGTTCCCCGAGCACAATTACTTTTGCGGATCACGTCCATGAATTTCGAATTGGCAAGCAGGTGAAGTCTCTCGTGGCGTTTCAATTGTGGTAATGGAGATTGGTTGAATTATATGTTCTTCGTGGCTTGACTTTGAGTCGGAAACTGCACCGACTTTTTAACTCACGAGAGCCTGTTATCTTATCTGGCAGGGAACTTCTTCATTGTGGCGTTAGCCGCTGTAATGGCTGATTCTCTAGATGATCTTCCTGCACTCGTCCATTCGCACTGCATCTGTAAGTTCACATTCAGCGAAGATTTGCTATTCGATTAAGGACTGAAGATGGTTTCAATCTCTTTCTTCTGTTACGCCTTTGTGAGCTACAAGTTTTCACCAGATACTCAAGGAAAAGATTTATGGACAGTTCAATCGATGATTGAAAGAGTTTCATCTAATTGTCGCAGTTTTCTTTGTCTGTTGCATCGTCAGCTGTCAGTAGTCATTAGCAGTTTCCCGTTGTGTCAATCATAGGATGCGGAGAATTTAATACATACTAAGTCGGCCGTATCATATCAAATCCGCACATGGTAGAAGAAAATGGAGACTATCCGGTAATTCTGGTTTTCCACAAATTTTTTAAACCTTGAAGATAAGTTGATAACTGTAAGATAAGTGCGTTCGTTTGGTTGCTGTTTGCAGTTTTCGACAAATTGGTGGAGTTCATTCCTTCCAAATTTTACATTCAAAACGAAGAAGCTCATGACTCCTGGGTACGACCCATTTTTTTTGCTAAGAAAGCTAAAGCACAGAGCCGGACAGCCTGTTTTACACTATGAGACGCTCTTTCGCTACAATCAGAAGGTTAAGTGAGAAGGTCTCGGAGCTAAGAATTTGTTGCCTACGCAGACTTTCAAGAAAAACAAGGCCGCCAAGGCAATCGCTAAGATTCAAACCAGAGAGAACCTGAAGAAAGCCAAGCGCAATCGGGTACGCCACGGCTGTCAATTACTGTCCAGATGCATGCTTTAATCAGTCTTTGGACGGTCCAATTATATAGAAGGTGCAGTAGAGCTAAGCCACTATAGGGTGTCTGCAAACGATGATAGGAACCAAGTACCTTGAAGCATCCTTTTTAGTATTTCGAGTCCGTATGGATCGCTTTCCTTTCCCCTCATTTAACGGTTCAATGACTTTTCCGTGAGGATTTCCAGCTAGATCCGGAGCAATTCAAGTCAACATTGCAGGTGCTGCAAGAAAAGAAAGATGAAGAACCCAAAGAGAAGAATGATGAAGCGGACCCTGAAGCCAACGAATCACCTGCAGGTTTGTCTTAGAGGACAGTCAGTTTGCTTCGCCAAGTGAAGGATTGAATGTGGGATCTGTTTTGCGAGTCCCGTACGTTGTACCACTAGTTTGTGTTTTTGCTCCAACTTTAGGGGTCACTACTAAGTATTGAGTAGCGCATTAAGGATTGTACACGATGAAATTACTTTTAGTCTTTGGGTGCCGCTTAATTGCAGAGATAATTGCGTAATTTTTTGAGACATGCTCCAATATCAATATTAACTCCATATTGATTGTATTTGTAGATAACGCTGACAGGGCGGTTACTTACGAGGAGCTTCGAGAAAGACTGCATAAGCGCATCTCTATGCTACGAGCAAAGCGACACGCAGAGACTGCGGCTGCAGCTACCATGAGTGCCCGAAGTTTTCAAAATGAAAAGAAGAATGAAGCCCTGAAAAGAAGGCTCAACTCGGCGCCCAAAGAGCCTGGGACTTCAAAAGCTCCAAGCAGGGAGGAGCAACCTTCTAACAAACGGCAGAAGAAGACCATTGTGCCTGTTGAAAAGGCAGTGAAGGTGTGACCTCAAAGAACCCCGTACCGAGTACATCGATGCTGTATACTGTTGTGAAATGCGGAGATGTTTGGTGTGAGCTTTTAAGTTTTATTCCACGAGATCGTGTCCCTCCTAGAGCTGTCTTATGTCTCCCTCCTAGAGCTGTCTTATGTCTCCGGCACGGGTCGAGTGCGTTTCTTCTCATACTTTCACTCTATCTGAATCTTTCAACACCAGTCTCCACCGATGTATGCTTTCACTTCGCATGGCGAAAATCTTGACCATGTTGCATGTTAAAAGTGTTTTGTTGAGAGAATGTTTACCTGCGTTTTGCCCAGCAGGATGCAGTCGTTGAAACAGACGAGCTGGAGTTTAGTCGTGTCAAGATGGGTCTTGACAATTCTGTTCCGGGATCCAAGAAGAGGAGAAGAGGCACCAAAGAACAACTTCTGAAGAAGGTTTGTTGTGAACTCTAGTGTATTTTCTTTTGGATCTTTTAATAGAGTTGTCCCCGTAAGCTAAGCTACAGATTTTACTTATATGTGAAATTCAACTGACGTTAGTTTCCTGCCTTTGAGATTTTCAGAGTGAATGTAGTTGAGAGGTATTAATTTAGTATCTTGTATTGGTGCTACAGGCAACAGAGCTTCAAGAAAAGATGCAAGATCCTGAGAAGGGCCAGGTGCGAATTTGTGTATTTGAGAGTAGTGCAGGTTGGATGAGTTAACTTATGTATGTTGGAATGGCTATTAGCAGTCTGTTATACTTATGAACAAAAAATCCCTTTTTTCAGTTATTTTTCAAAACCGCTGCCAAAATGGGTGCTTTGTTTACGTTAGTTACCCTAGTCACCGGATGTTTTTTGGGGAAAACTATATACGCCTATCACTTTTTTCTTTCGAGAATTTGCTTTTCTGTGAGGAAAAAGTATTGTAAGTTTCGTCTCGTCAAATGTTTACAATTTCAATATAAGTATCTTCTTTGTGGAGAAGTTTAGAAGGTTATCTTTACATTGATCGAGTGAACTCAATCTCGTGTGCAGGAAGTCATCTCACAACATTCATGGGCGGCTGCAGTCAGCCGTGCGGCTGGTGAAAAGGTGCTTTCCTTATTTCCAATTTTGTCTGCCATTTGCAACCTGTTTCCCTTCTCTCCTGTAGCACAAACGTGATGTTCTAAGTTCATACTACCACAAGAAGATGTGAAAAAATCTTAGTAATCATCGTCATTATTGTTCAGGTTTTGGATAATCCCAAACTTATCAAGAAGAGCATGAAGAAGGATCAGCAACAGGCCCAAAAAAGTGCTAAGAAGTGGTAAGACTTTTTGTTAGCAGTATTTGATATCGGAATTGAGTATGTGAGATTGATGTGGTAATCTTTTAATGTTATACCAGAGAACGAACTGGAACGACTTACTTCATATCCCACAAAATATTTGCATTATTCATTACGTAGTATCTCGCTTAATATTTTGCAACAACCCAATAAGCTGTGGACTCCTTGTTGTTGTACACATTTTCTTTTGCCCGCCTTGTCCAGAACCATGTGTATTTCTTACTTTAATGTCCATGGCCTTGAATAATAACTTTTTGGTGTGCACAGGCAAGAGAGAAAGCATTATGAGAAGAAGGGTCAAAATGAGAAGCAGAAAACTCGCAAGGACAACATTACACAACGTTTGGAATCTATCAAGGAAAGAAAAATCGCCAAGGTAAGCTTTCATACCATTTCAAACTTCTGGCTCTCCTACCCATAGCATGATTCATCAGTTTATAATTACATTATGAGTTAATCTTCGCATCTATGGTGTCAACACGTGCATCTAACATTTACTTGAATCTCCATGAACTTAGTTTCATGCTAATGATCTGAAACATTTCTGAACGTGCAGAGAGAGAAGAAACTCATGAGACCCGGGTTCGAAGGAAGGAAAGCGGGTTTCATTAATTCTTAGTTTCGGTCACACTCAAATCACTCCCAATTTCCCTCTGGATCCTAGAAGGGAATTTGGCTAAGCTGCATGCAAATAGGTGGCCTAGTTTCCCCTGGGAGGTGAGTCTTTTTCCTTCTCGAGCTATGCGTGGCTGTATTCTTCTCTGTTTGAAGTGTTGACTCTGAGTCTAGTGTGCATTTTCTCACGTCGAAGTGAGGGTGGTCTTGTCAACGAGTAGATTACGTTTTTTTCCCACTTCGAGTTTAAAAGTCATCCGCATATACCACATGATGCCCTGTTCAAGACTAGTACTGTAGGTTAATTTGCATCTGCTGAACTTCTGTTATTCCCAGCATTGGTTTTGAGTAGTCTACGAGTAGTTATTGAGGTAAAGTGAAGACTTCAAACCACGTGCAAATTCCAAATTTCGCAGGCGCTTAGGTGCGTATGATTATATTGTGTCCCTTGTGGTTGCTCTATCGAGTATTAAAGTATCTATTGAGGATTGCCAATTTCTCAGTTTATGGATTGAAACTTTTTGCAGGAAATTGTGTCACGAGCGCTTGGTTGAGTCGTGGAGCAGAACTTGTTGAGCAAATCAAGCCTTGGCACCCGCCAAGGTGAACAGCAGACTCCCCTGTACAATATCATTTTTTTTGGAGTTGTAACGTATGTTCACATAGAGGTGGTCACAGCACCTTTTCCATCATGAGACGTCTCCTAGTCAACAATTTCTGGTCCGAATCAAAGAAATGTCAAGATCTTAAACCGATTCAATTTACGCTTGTTCGATTTGTGTATCTCATATCAGGCGGTATGATAAAGGGCTCTCTGGTTTTGCTGATGTTATGTTTTCGGGCATTTGATTGCACTCTTTTGGTTGGGACTACGGATGTCGCCCGTCCAGCCCACAGTTGATATGTTTCACGTCTAGAAGAGAAAGGATGGAGAGTGATGTTCCATTTGCTTAGTGATCCATTCAATGTTGCACTTTGCCTCTAAATCCTAAACCTGGAAATTGTAAACCGTAAGCCACAATCAGCTTATCCTAAACCCTACCGCACCTCCACCTTCAATGTTCACTTTACCGCACCTCCACCCTACCGCACCCTAAAAATTGTAAACCTTAAGCCACCCAGACCTGAACCTAAACCCTTTAACTCCGTGGTTACCCAGACCTAAACCTTCAACCGTACCGCACCTACACCTTCAATGCTGCATTTTATTACTACGAGTTCACCTCAAAATTCATGTCTACCTGTAAACTGAAAACTCTAAGTCACCCAGACCTAAACCTGAAACCGCGGTAAAAGTCCTAAAACTCAATCTCCACCGTTTCCTCACCTGAAACATGTAAAGGAATACAAACACTATTTAAAGTTTCATCGCAATATAACTTCTGCACTGCTTCGTTTGTAAATTTCCCAAATCTTACTGGTTGTTGAATCAGTGCAAGACATTGTCAAGCTGCAGACCATGATGTGCTTCCAGTCATCATCCAGAGGTTTCTTTTGGGTATTCTACTACTCTAACCTCCTTTTCCAGACGTATTATTAATCTCGTTACCCACTGACCAAGCGATTGTATTAGACTAATTATCCACGGACCAAGCATGTCATTCACGGTCTAAGCACCCAAATGGTTGGGTTAATGTCAAAAACTCTTTCTTGAAAAGTGCCATATCAAATGACATATTTTCTAATAAAGTGATGGTAAATATAATACCAAAATCAATGATACTCAAGATCTTCATAAGCGAGCGAATTCAACCACGGGTATTGCTGAGCGTGATTGGAATTATCACATACTAGTGTACACAATGATGAACGCTAAGATCTGTTGACACGACATGTAGATTTTGGTCCTCAACACATGAAATGCGTTTTGCTAGATACTATGTTTGTTGTACTTTAACTAAACCTCAATCTCTCGTTGAAACTCTTGAAATGGGATTGTATACTAGCATAAAGATTCCTGGAGATACTATAAATCACCCTTGGCCCTAAACCCCAAGCCACACTAACCTAAATTCTAAACCTCCACTCATATCTTAAAACCTATTTTCAATACCTTACCTCACCTCCATCTTCGATATTGCATTTACCGCACCTCCATGCTTAACTCCTAAACCTGTAAACTGTAAACCCTAAGCCATCTTTACCTAAACCTCCATTCTTACTCTAACTCCTAAATCCATTACATTTACACCTTAAAGAATCAGTACAATGATTGTGAATTTGTGTTTTTGATGCAACAGTTCTTCATAATTCATATAAATTGTAGAGATTGAACCTTCTATCGACGTAGGACTGACCGCAATACCTTGTTTCATCACCTTATAGTTAACGTAGAGAAAATGTGTTTATTACACTTCAATCGAGTTCCAAAATTCTAGCGATGAGTGTGCGCGGATCCTTCCATACTGAAAAAAAACTATCCAGATTTGACAAAATTGTAATGCTGTTGAATCTTTTCACCTTCTTTTTGTTACCTTCGTATGTGCTTATTCTAGCTTATCTATACATAAGCTAGAATCAATATCAGGGTAAAAATATTCTTTGAGAGTACCATGAAAATCAAGTGACATAATTCTATTCATCTTAGAAGCTCAGATTAATATCTCCCGGAGAAATCGAGATTTACACAAGTTTAGTGGTTTAGACCACAAAGATTGTTAAACTTGATTTGCGATTCTCACAATCTCATGTATACCACGATAAACTTTGAAAATATTTCACACATGATATGTAGATTTTGTTCCTCCTCAACATGAAATCTTGTACTAATATGTTTTCTTGTAGTTTAAGAATGTATCAATCTCACTTTTGACGCGCTTCAAATGGAATGTATGCAAGCTGAAAGGTTCATGAAGATCATTAAAGTCATTCTGAATCCTAACCTTAAACTTTAAGCCATATTGAACTAAATCTTAAACCTCCATGGTTATCTAAATATTAATGTAACTCAATGCATCTTCACCTTCAATGTTGCACTTTATGCACTTCCACGCTTATCTCCTTAATCCTAAACCTACACTCTTACCTAAAACCTAAATTCTTAATCCTATCTCAAATTCAAAATTGCATTTTATTGCACCTCTTCATTTACCTACTAAATCTTTAATCCCAACGTATAAACTGTAAATGCTCTAAACATCTATTCTATGCTAAGCTTGTACTAAATTCTAAACATTGTCATATTTTCATATTAAACTGAGGTATTTATTTGATGGGACTCCATCGCAACCTAAATTACTTACTGGTATCTTTTTAAGTTTCGTTTTACCTAATGAAACCCCACCAACGATATACGTCACTCATGTTCTAGTATTAACAGGTTGGAACTTTGTTTCCTGCACAAACAACATGTTTTAGAATTTCATGACGATGTGCCATCGATGGGATCCCATCTAGTAAAACGAAACCTGATGGGTTCAAACAAGCAATTTAGGTTCCTATAGGGTTCCATCAAGTAAATATCTCTGTTAAACTTGTAAAAATCTACACTTATACTAAATCCTAAACATTGCCACGTCTTCATCTTAAAATTGTAAAGAAACAATACAATTTCGGTTGTATGTTTGAACATCACACTTGCATATAATGTCAAACAACTCTTATTTGAGAAGTGCCATATCAAGTGACATAATTTGGTTCATTTCATAAACTTAGGTTGATACCTCTTTGAATACACAAGATTTACACAAGTCACACTATTCAACCATAGTGATTGCTGAACTTAATTTGTGATGATCACCTTCTCATGTACATAATGAAGAACGTTCTGAATTCTGAATTTCAGACATGACATATAGACTTTTATTCTGTCAACGGTATGTTTGTTGCAGTTTCCATTTGATGGAGTTCCAAGGATGGAGTTCCATTCATGTGTCACGCTTGAGGACCTCTAGTGTACTATGATCTGCCAGTTTTGGGGAGGGGCATATCTTCATTCCACTAGCCATTGATCATCGCATGGAGGAGGTTTATGGTTAATTACAATCCAGTCTGTTGGATTCCACATTGCTTATTAGATACACCTTTTGCATGCTGTCTTTGTGGAGTCCGTATGATTGCTACAAGCGATGTCATTTGCAATAACATTGATAACGACATTTTTAACACTGATCAAAAGAGTAGTGAGAAGAGTGATGGTACACTCTCCTTTATGGACAACTGCCAATGTTCAACACTACATGTCCAGGGGGGACCGAGTTGCTATGACTGATGTAGTGGCTGTAGATCAGACTCCAGAAACGGGTGCCCTCAAAATCATGAGATGTAATCTATGAGAAGCTGCGGAGACAAATTGCTGTTGAAATTCGCATTTTTCTTTCACACGGAGAGCTTTTGGACAAGACACAAACAATTTGTGAGAGAATGTGCTGAGCTTTATCATGATAAACATAACATCGCCTTTTTGGATCCAATATCTTGGACAGCTTATAATCATTATATTAAGGCGTGTTCTAGCCTTGTCAATCCAGAGAATGAAGGTTTTGATCAGTGATGATCATGATTCGCTACAATCTGCATGTAGGAAAAATCAAAACCGCTGTCAAAGACAAAGTGATTCATAACAAGAGATTGAATCCCTCGGCTGATTCTTACAATAACTGCTTTTTCTTTAAACCTGACTGCATGTGATCTCATCGCGCTTTATAATTCGATGCGTCTCCATGATCACTAATGGATCAGAGTCGTTGGCTAGCCGAGGACCTTCCACACGAATTCTGAGTCAACTAAGATTTGACTCCCCAACAAACAAACAAACAGATAGGACGACCCTTTCTCCACTGAAAAGATAAAGGAGAAACAGAGCACTCATGGCTGAATAGGATGCATAGTGCTCTCCTCTGCCAACTCGATGCGTTAAAACAGCATCGACGTGAATGCCACGTCCCGCCTGCAAGCAAGTGTATGGCTTGAGCTCAGTAGGAGCTTGGAGCTTGGAGCTTGTATGGTAGGAGCTTGCAAGGTCGGGCAAGCAGGGCATTTATTCTGGACAATGGAGATGTTGCTCTCAATCTCGATCTGCCGTTGGGGCATGCATACGAGTGGAATCGCTGGGCCGAGTTTGTGTTGTGTTGTGTGCAGCTCAGGACTTTCCCCCAGAGTCTAGTCGTGGCTGTCGTCTTGAAGTCCGACCTCCAGAACCAACAAATCAAAACATGAGCTTTGGCAGTGGCCAAACCAGTATCGTTTCGAGTGAACTGGAAGTGGAGGAGAGCTCTTTTAGTTGGGGTGGGGGTCCAAGAGGGCCAAACGAACACTGTCGAACATCTCGCTTTCGCTTTTGCATGAGTGCCTGATCTGGTTCAAGAGGAAGATCTAATGAGATCCCGATGAGAGGAGGGAGGGCAGTCTGCAAGATTGCGTCGTGTGCATGTGGAGGAGGGGGAGGGATGGTGATCTACAACACAGGACTAGGGTCCCCACAACGTAAGACGCGAGAGAGATGATGCTCGAGGAGCAAGGTCCCGATGCACCCACTTCTCGTCCAAACACAGCTCAGCTCGCTCAGACGGTCGGGGCCCTGTCTGTCTCCATGTACTGTACTTACATCGAGACAGGATTGGCCCATGCACAGAAATTCTAAGATCCCTTGAAAAGTACTCATTGATCCGAAAAGGCCTAAACTTCCAGCCCCTTGCGATGCGTCCAAGACAGACAGATAGACCGCTCTGCTGCAGTGCAAAGCATCAGGAAACCGAATGCCAGCAGCAACTTTTCCACAGCTTTTGATTTCCTCAAATATTCTGCCAGTTTGGGATTTTCATATATTTTCATATATTCCTCTCCATCCGCCCCGAGGATCTTTATGTCGCCGAACCAAACTGA